TGACGTGACGAGTGCAAGTTTTGGCAAAATGAAGAATGACAAAAAAAAAAAAACCAGAAGACTACACGTTGATTCGCGTGCCTCGACGACTAAATAAATCAACTCGCTCGAGTGGTTCTCTTTCTCTTTCGAGGAAAAAAACAGAGACGAGTTTCCCTCGCGACTTACCTGACAAAATTGCTAGCCCAAAGAGTTCGCAATCTTGCATGCCTTGTTGACCAAGAAGTTGGCATGTCTGCACGTAGACCTCTTTTACCTTCGATTTAGCCTGCAACAGACATGTGAAGCAGTCGAAGGATGAATTCACAATTACGTAAATGACAAATGGCTTTCGTTGCCTGAAAAAGGAGAAAACCTGCAGGAGAGAAACAAAGGAGGCGAGCGAGAATGAGCGGGGACGTGAGAATTTGCGGGAACGAGAAAGTCGCGAGACAGCTGTTTGAATCGGCATTGTTTATTTGGACGGCCGATCGTAATAGCACGGCAGACGCATACGTGACAATGATATTGTACGTGAGCCTATGCCAGCCGAGCTCGTACGTATGAATATTGCAGAAACAGAGAGAGAGAGAGAAAGAGAGAGAGAGAGAGAGAGAGGAGAGAGAGAGGAGAGAGAGAGAGAGAGAGAGAGAGAGAGAGAGAGAGAGAGAGAGAGAGAGAGAGAGAGAGACGGTGAAAGCGTACTACATACCAGTCTGCGTACGCTCGCGCGGCCCGCGAGAGAGAAACAGAGAGACCCCGTGCGTGGAGCGCGATTCGCCCGGTGCTACGGATCAAATGGGCATTTTCCCCACCCGACTCCGAGCGCGCGTTTCAAGTTCAACGCTGCGCGCTCCGTGGACGCGCACTTTGATCGGCAGCCATGCGTGCGCTCGAGAGCCTCTCGGTGTGCAGCGAGCCAGGTGCCCAGCAGTGCACACCGACGGCTCAACCGGTCATTTCCAGAACTTTCACTGATGCGATATTACAGTGTTTCTATTGCACGTGTCGATTCTGACGGTGGGGCCGTCGTTTTGGTTGCACCGACGAGTTCTCCTCCGACGGATATTCAAATGCGCAAAGCTGCCAAGATTGTTTTTGATCGACATCGCTCCCGATAATGTCCTTTAGAACGAATGGCCTCGTGCAATTAACTAGATCACGGATAAACGACGGTAAGTTGCTTCGGCTAGGTAAAAGAAATCTATAGACATATTTCAAGTGATTCCGGCAAGTGGAATAGTCACGAAGTGGATCCACGCCTCAAATTGGGAAATGTCTTCTGACTGAAAAAGAATCGATAACCAGTTTAATTGAACTACGAGGATAGCGCAAATGCTGTAAACACATACTCCTTTCAGTTATCTTCTTAGTACCTGACTATTTCGGATTTAGAGGCCACATAGTCAGGTACACTAAAAAAAAGAGTAAGAAAGAAAGAAAGAAAAGAAAGAAAACTACAGCAATGTATCTGAAGAAATCTGATTGACTCGAGTGGCGTAGAAAGGAAATCCAGACGCAGTAAAGGTGGCAAGAAGGGAAAAAAAATACTCACGTCAACGATGAAATAGAGCGGATCACCGGGCAGGGCGTGTACGGCGAGATATCGGCTGGCGGAAACCAGGGGTTGAAGGCAGGACCGCGCAGCCGTGACACTGCTACCACGCATGCTGCATGCTTCATTTCGTCGCCGATACGCCCAGCGTCCTCACTGCAATCAAACGTCGCGCATATCGGATCAGCTCTTGTTCCTTCCCTCTCTCTCCCGTTTCGTAGGCCGTCGCGGGCTCCTGCGCGCGACCGAAACGCTCGATCTGTACCCGCGTGCGCAGGCATTCCCGCGAAAAGCCACGATAATCGAGCATGGAGTACGGTGAGCTCAGCGCAAATGCAAGCGACGTACGACTTTTCATGGAAGAATCATCACGTTATCTATGGAAGAATTTTATCGAAAATACCGAAACCTTTGGCGCGCAAATTGTGTACTCCATTCGAGCAAACTTGGGCTACGTTGCCTACCAGGAGTTCACTCGAATCGATTCGATTGCATGTAAAAATCTATTTATGACTCGTTTCGATGGCATGCTGATCTGAATGTGCTTTTTCGTTGTCATCAATCGTATCACCCTGTTCGTTCCAATACCAACGAATCGGGCTATCGAAACCCATCTGGCATGCAACACTCACGACAATAATGTTAATGAAACAAATGAACTGTCCGTGAAAACGGTATCCCAGTGGGAAGCTCGCAGAAAAAATATGCGCTTACAAAAATACAGAATCATCAGAGAAGTTGTTCAATTTGAATAAACAGATTCGAACGTACGAACTGATCATTCCGATCGAGCAGCTTTTATTTTTCAGTGCGTACGCACAGACCGATAAGCACGCGTATTTTTCTGCCGCAGGTATCAGGAGACAGAGGCTGAAAAGGAGAGGATTACGCGCGCTGGCCGGCATAAACTTTCGATGGAATTCATAGATAATGTCGGATTAGTCATTGAGTAATCAAAGGCTGAATTCTGGTTACGCGCTTTTCGTTAAAAGTCGATCTCGAGATCACAAGCAACTAGCGCGATTATCGCGAGTGCAACGGCGAGCATTGGCGAAAAGACAAAAATCTCTCTCGACCTCCGACGTAAACCTCGCGGTTACCGATTCCGAAGCGAAAAATACAAGGAAGGCTGGCTCTAAAAACGAAGGAGGAAGGAAAAAAATTCCATCGTCGAGAGAGAGAGAGAGAGAAAGCGCAGCCAAGGGAGATCTATAAGGCACACCCTCGCCCGCAGACATATACGTGCTGAAGGGTCAGGGATCCCTAATTTCCGCAGAGCGCGAGCATCGTGATCCTTAAGTGCAAGCGAAAAGCCGGCTGGATGGCGGCCGCCAGTGCCGCTAGGTTCGCGTGTGTTGGTGTGTGTACACAGAGAAAGAGAGAGAGAGAGAGAGAGAGAGAGAGCGAAGGACGCCCGCATTCCTCGACCGGCGCAACCTGGTATAATACTGGGAATCGCACGACGAGAGAGAGAGAGAGAGAGAGAGAGAGAGAAAGAGTGAGAGAGCGCGCAACACCTTCCTCTATTAACCAACTTTTTTCTTCGCCTGCACCAATTTCTCTTCTGATGGGATTATAATGCGAATATAATGGCGGGGCTACTGCGGTACGCCGATTTTTTGAGGTCGATTAGCATCGCCGGTTAACCGATTCCTCCATTCCTCAGCCTCCTCGGCGTGCGTACGTCTGACCTATAAAGTTCGCCGCGTAAACAATGCTGCCGCGGGAATAAAGTTTTACGAGGCTCTGAAGAGACGTGATATTATGCCAAGGAATCCCGCGGCCGCCACGGTTAATTACTTGTAAATGAAGAGACAGAGAAGCGCGGGAAAAAAGTGCCCAAGTTTTTCTACGAAACGCGTCGATGGGGGATTTGAATGTGTGCGCGCGTGCTTCTTTTTTCTCGAGGCTGTTTGTGGAAATCAGAGTACAAACGAACGGTTTTCCTTATCGGTCTGTGCGCTTATTGTTTGCGTAACAATCTTCTCTCCCTTCCTCTTCTCTCTATAAGTGGATTTTAGGGAATCTTGCGTAATTATTAGATCTTGCTTCTCCATAATAGCGCTTGCAATGTGAATAAAAAGATGTCAACTCGGGCCTGAATAAAGTGCGCGTACAGATATTGAAATGATGCGATGCACAATGAAGAAAACAGGAAAAAAGGCAGTTCTCACATGTTAAAGTAATTGCTAGATCGTTAAAGCGCCGACGTTACATATCTATCGTATGAAGCATTTTACATTTAATCTTCCATAGATAATTGAAATACCAAACGCGTTTCCTCTAGATAGAGCTCATAACTCTATCCACTTAAAACATAACTACGAAGAATAAGCGTTAGAGAAAAAAATATGAGTCGTCTTGAAAAAATTTATAAGGACTTCTTTTCCAAACAATAGCCGGACCAGCAGGTGGGATTAGAGCAAGTGAAACGTCCACTTCCGCATAAGTAGCTACGATCCGTCAAATGGAATAAAAATGAAAGCTCTATATAAAAGAACGCATCGACGTGTGTACAATACACATCACCCCGCCGCACAAGCAAAAGGATTAACCGAGGAAGAAAAAAAAAACGAAGGTAGAGTTCTCCCCTATAAGCAGCTTTCGTTGGGCATTGTGAGATCGCGAATGGAGAGCGGAAATGGTAATGGTACGCGATACATCAGCCGGCTTTAGTGTTATAATATAATCGGAATAGGAAATCGGAGAGGCAAGATCGTTGACACTTTAGGCGCGCGCGTTACATACGTATATGTATATTATTGTTTTGATTGAAGTTTTCGAAAATGAAAGTGTACGCACGCGCCTGGTAAAACGAGTGTTTTGTTTGTGATGTAATGTTATTCTTACGCCAATGCGGATTGCATACTGAACAGTTTCGTTCTTTTTTTCTTTTCAATGTGCGTCTCCGTCTGCGTGTATATTGATCACTGAAGTTACGTTTGGGAAGTTAGCATACAATTTCGTATACGAATGTAAACGAGAAGAAAAAGATGGAATTACAATAAAAGTCTTGGAAAATTTTAACGATTAATTTCGAATGTTTATGGTCGTTCGTCTAACGGTTTCCTGACGGTTTTCATGACTTTCGCTTCAAGTCAACGCTATCTACTTCAAACAACTTTAACTTGTATATTTCCTACTACTGTTTACCTACATTTTCATCGTCGTAAAACTACTAGATGATAATTATGCTTATAGCGCAAAATCGTGGTCTTTACGAAATTTTTTTTCGTTCTATCTTATAAATTTTTGTTGTTTTACACTTCATTCGATTCTCAGTAATTTCAAAATAACAGTTGCACTCCAAATTAAAATATTTTGGAACACAACATGCAAACAAAAATATCAACTCGATTGTTGTCAGTAAAATATAAATCACTGGTTAAATTTTAACGTGATTACACTCATTTGAAAGACTTCAGAATTTTTTCCCAGTATTTACGAGTAAAAAAAAACCTATAGGGATATAATTGAATCTGAGTGCATTGCCAACAATCAAACGTTCATCAGAAAGTCTTGTAGCTAGTAACCGCCACAATTCGCAAGCCGAAGAAAAAACTTGCAACCGGGTGGAGAACGTTACCAATCAAATACCACGCAATCTTACAACTTGCCTAATCTCACGATCGATCATCACGGAAAATCCATCGAGATACACGAAGACGACGAGAAAGATCGGTCTGGCAGCAGAGCGACGGTATCTCGTCAGGAACATGTCGCGCATGCGCGACTCTTTCTGGAATGCGTTTCCTCCCACCTCCCTGCGTTTCGGAGCCTCTCTCGCGCGCGCAATCCCGCATACCATTCTGCTCTCCTCTTTCTCTCTTCCTCTCTTATAACCATCATCCTCGCGCGCAAGCGAGTACATCTTTTCTCATGTATGAAACTGAAAAAAACAATGACCTACCCGAATCCGCGCGGCGTGTCCAAGAGATATGTTTGACAATAAAATCGTCGGAGCAACAGGTGGTAGCACACTCTCAACTGGACACTCGCGCACTTTTAGCTCTCTCACACGCGGACGTTATTATGGAAAACGCGACACGCGCGCGACTAGCGCCGGCGAGTGACTGGTGCGCTCAACTCGCAAAGTCGCAACGCTCTCTCCCCCATCGAAACGCTCGGCGCGCCGCCTAATCTGCATTCCTCGCTTGCCTGTACGGAGAGAGAGTAGGCTAGGAACTGCTAGCTACGATGTATCAGTTACGATGCGTAGTGCGTTTTCCCGCGGTGGGAACGCATCGGCATCGATCTACGTTGGAAAAGTCGAAAAGCCCTCGCCCCTCTCCCTCTCATTCGATTACATTGCGGTGGATCGCTGGTTGCTCTGTCGTACCAGTAGCGTCACCTAGCCGCGCTAGCTCCAAACTTTGACTCACCTAAATCGCATATAGCCTCGTCCGACATAAGCAAAAGAGCCTTCGGCAGCGACGGTGGCAGCAGAAGCAGCAGCCTGTGCCATAAAACACGCAGCAACCAAGCACTTGTGCGCGTGCGCATATCTCGAGGGGAGGGGGGGATCCAAACAAGCATCAGCTGTGTGGCAGTCATTGTGCGAAAGCTGTAAGCAAGCAAGAAGAGAGCGAGTAAGCGAGCAGAGTGTGTGTGAAGCGAGCTGAGAGAGCGAGGTGAGAGATTGCGTTTGGGTTATTCGGTGTGTGTGTGTGTGTGTGGTGCGTGTTGCGGAAGGACGGCATCAGAAGAGACAAACGCGTTGGCTTGCTCGAGAGCTGCCCGCGCGGAGTGCAAGCAGGAAGCCTGGCCTCAAGCGGTGGAGAGTCGGACGACGGTGGGCTCGCTCCGCCACCGCGCAAAAGGTCCCGTAGTTCCCTGCCGACTACCCAGAGGCCAGCTGCCGCGGCCACACAGGCCCACGAGCAGTTTTGCAGCGGCAATCAGGAGCAGGCCCACCGTACATCCTCGGACAACCAACCAAACCCTAAAGACATGGACAATTATCGGTACGTTCTTTCTCCCACCCTCCCTCTTCTATTCTTTCTAGATATATATACATATATATGTATATATATATCCTTGCTTTCTCGTGCTCTCTATCTCTCTCTCTCTCTCTCTCTTTCTCTCTCTGCTCCATTGTCGACATCGTCGTCGTCGTTGTCGTTGTTGCTGGTGCTACGCTGCCACACATATGCACACCCACGCAGCAGCGTCTCTGCGTTAGTTGCGCTGTACTCTGCTCAGCGTTGCATACGTGTTAGTGCGTACGAGGGAACGAGAGAGAGAAAGAGAGAGAGAGAGATATATATATATACACACACATGCAGCAGCGCCTTATCTGCGTCTCGCTCCTTTTTATCTATAATTAGCTTTCTTTATCCTTTCCCATCCGTCACTCACATCGTCACAGTCGCACAAGTTTGTGTATTAATTTGCAATTCTCCTCTCTTTTTCTCTCTGCTCTATCCGTCGCGATTTCGTCAGTAGTTCCTTTGTTATGTAACCCGAGATCCAAGGGCCCTACAAAAGGGCGACCCACTCATACACAACACAACACGCGTCCATTGTCCACTTGCAGTGCGATGCAGCAACAGCAGAGCAGCGCCAATGGAGCACCATTGGAAGTGGTTGCTTCTCCCGGATCCCAGCAGAACGGAACCGTTTGCGCGGACTCCGGAGGAGGTGGTACTCACACCACCAATGGGAACCTCATCGCCGAAACTGACGGAGACGCTGTTGAGGTCAACGGTAAGGATACCGAGACCAGCGTTGTCCCAGTCAAAATTATGGATCAAACCAACCAGGACATTGTTAGACTCATTGGACAACACTTAAAGGCAGTGGGATTGGAGTAAGTTCTTTGTTCTCTTATGGAGTCCTCCCTCCTTAATTCTAACTCATTATTTATGTGTGGTGACACATGTGTTGTTTCTTACCTATAGTCGCACTGCTGAACTGTTAATGCAAGAGTCTGGTTGTCGACTGGACCATCCTGCAGCTGATAAGTTTCGCCAGCATGTGATGGACGGAGAGTGGGTCAAGGCTGACCATGATCTCAATGAGCTCAAGTGCTTCTTGGACAGTTCAAACCAAAGTCTTGTTGTGAGCACTGTTTTGATTTTGATGTGCTACTTTTACATGACAACGATTGTTACATGTGTGTTATGCTTGCAGGAGATGAAGTTTTTACTTTCGGAACAAAAGTATCTGGAGTATCTTGAAGATGGACTTATGCTGGAAGCTCTTCAAGTTTTGCGTAACGAGCTCACACCTTTAGGGCACAATACTGTTCGTGTTCATCAGCTGTCTGCATTCATGATGTGTAGTGGCAGTGAAGAGCTACAGGTATTACTGCAAAATCTTCATAGAAACAATAAGTCATCTTTAAATATTGTTGCAAGTTCTTGTATAACTATAAAATTATTTTATAGTCGCGTGCTGGTTGGGCAGGTAAAGGGTTAGCATCGAGAACAACTCTGATGGATAAGCTACAAAAGTACGTTCCCCCATCGATAATGCTGCCTCCGCGCCGACTTCATTCCCTCCTCTGTCAAGCTGTGGAAATGCAACAGCAACAGTGCACTTACCATATTGCTCAAACACAGGTTCGTGTAAACATACGAGATGATAAACTTGATTTATTATCAATCCATTACCTTTTACCGACATTTACAGACAAACCTCGAAAACGTTTCGCTACTAGTCGATCACAATTGTAGTAAAGATAACTTTCCATGTCACACCACACAAATACTCAACGATCACTGTGATGAAGTGTGGTACTGTAAGTTCTCTCCTGATGGTTTGAAACTTGCTACTGGATCAAAAGATACGGCCGTGATAATTTGGGACGTTGATCCTGTAAGTTTATACTGAGCAATATCATTAAGATTCACTGAGTAATATGTATTAATGGTTTGTCGTATTCAGGAAACACTTCGAGTAACGCATAGGAAAACGTTGGAGGGCCACACGTATGGCGTAGCACTAATTGTTTGGAGTCCGGATAGTACTCATCTGATAGCCTGCGGTCCGGAAGATTGTCCAGAATTATGGCTATGGAGTATTGACTCGCCCGAATGCGAGTTACGCGTCAAACTCACTCAGAGTACCGAAGACTCTTTGACCGCCTGTGCTTGGCATCGCGACTCCAACAAGTTTGTCACTGGTGGACTTAGAGGTCAATTTTACCAATGTGTAAGTATTTTTTCTTTTATACTTATCACATTTAAGAATAATCATTTGATATCATTTTCAAATATTTTGTTTAGGATATGGATGGTAATGTTTTGGATTCGTGGGAAGGAGTTAGGGTCAAAAGTCTATTCTGTCGTAGCGATGGAAAGACGGTGTTGGCCGCAGACTCGCACCACCGCATCCGCTCATATAATTTCGATGACTTAAACGAATTCACCGTGTAAGTTTGTCAATATATCAACAGTCTACAACTGTACCCAAGAAAATTAAGTAATTTATAACTGATGCATTTATTACAGACTACAAGAAGACCATCCGATCATGTCGTTTAGCGTAAATAAAGCAGATCGTCAAGCTCTTCTTAATGTTGCTCATCAGGGAGTACATCTGTGGGATTTACAGGATAAATGCTTAATTAGACGTTTCCAAGGGGTTACTCAGGGGCATTTCACTATTCATAGTTGTTTCGGTGGTGTTAATCAGGATTTTATTGCGTCAGGCAGTGAAGGTATAATTCGTATTTTTTGTGCTTTATGTCGAACATTTTGGATAGCAATTTATAATTACTTGTTTATTTTTCAGATAACAAAGTTTACGTATGGCATATAAAGAAAGAGTTACCCATAGCTACGTTAACGGGACACAGCAGGACTGTCAATTGCGTATCTTGGAATCCTGTTCACCATCAGATGATGGCTTCTGTTTCCGATGACTTTACAGTCAGGATATGGGGTCCTAAGTCTGCAACGCCTGAAGGTTAGAATTACAGAAAAAATATTTTAAAATCATATTAAATTTATAAATATTGGTGTATCATAAATCTCCCATATTTTTCAAAGCCGAATGATTTGTTCACAGCCTTAGATGGTGAAGCCTCAAATGGAAGTGATTGGAGCATCATCGACATGGTGTCGTAGCAAACATGGTCCCAATCATGTTCCAATAACCCCATGGTGTTCAAAAGACTGTCGTGTTGACTATCACTCGAACTTTCCTGCCCTTAAACAACTTCGTTATACCTCAAAGCTACTCCCGTTATCGCGCGATTACGTTGTGCACATTAGGAAGTAGTTCAAGAGGTATGTTCAGTTAAAAATCGATCGAAGCTCATACTGAAATTGTAGAGCAGTCAAATGGTACTCAAATATTTCGCTGTTTTTTTAATACACATACGCAAATGAATCATCTTAGTTAAATTTCAGTAAATTTCAGTTTTTTAAGATACATACGCCAATAAATTAATTTAGGTATTCTCGGGAAAAGTAGCAGTTTTTCTTTCATTTTAATCAAACTGACTTTTAAAACCGTTTCTCGTCACTAATACGTTTGCAAACAGACTTCTAATTTTTCATAAATATAACTGTTGAACATTTTTGCTGGACTATTTATTAGACTGCTAATACGGGATTATTCAGGGAGGAGTAAAGATTATGTTGACAAAATCATAAAAATATAGAGTTAAGATTCATATAATCATTTAAATGGCTTAACAACTTTTTTTAGATATTATTATTCAATTTATAAGATACATGGATTTAATGTTTGTACAATAAACTTATTTAGTTATAAGCATTAAATTTTGGCATGATATTCTACGTTGTGCCAATGTTAGATTTCACAAATAAGCCAAAATTCAAGTATAACAACTTCTTTACTTTCCTATAATAAAGTGCATACCTTCATTGAGAAGGACTTAGTTCTTCAAAATGTCGTAATTATACAAGAAACATTTAGTTTGAAAATCATATAATGTTACAGAAAGTCACATATTTTAATTATCGGATTGATTAAATTTATTTGATACTATCAAACGAGAACGATATCAAGTCAATATTGTAAAAGTAATTGTTATGGCTAAAAAATATTTTTATGCAATACGAATCTTAAATAAAACTGCTTCTTCATTATTACCACGCAGAGTACGTGATATTTGAATTTGAGACACTACAAAAACCTGATTTTGTTGTTAATTATTCAAATTTATATTGCAAAGAGCAGTTACATTGAAATGTTATTTGTCCCTATAAATATTTTATTTTCAGTAATTTTTACAACCATCAAAAATATTTTAAAATTGTATTAATATTGTGATCTCAAAACGATTAAATTGTTCCATATTATATTTGAAAAAATTAGAGGTCGAGTAAAAAAGCTCTTCGTCATCGAAATGCGTTACTTTTGTTTTGTAACGGAGATTATTTAATAAAAGTAATCATTGAAAATTCAAAATAGGCAAATTTCAACATCTTAACGATCTAGCGAATTAAGATTAGACCACAATGTATAGTTTTGCAGTCGATAACTGCAGCTAATATAAGGAATAAGAGAAAAATCTTAGACTTTATTAATATTTAAAGGGATGATTTTATATTATTTACAATATAAATATTTCGTTGCATAGAGCAAAGCTGTGAATTCTTGCATTTGTCTCGTTGATTGCTACACAGTTCAAATTATTATATTGTTGAACAGTAAATACCATTTTACAAAACATTGTCGTGGGCGCGAAATGATCTATTTGCATACAATAAAAGAAGTAATGAAAGGTCTAAAATTTTATATCCTCAGAAAGTTTACATTTATAATAACGAAAGACGAAAAAAAAACAAACAACTAAAGATAAAAATGTATCGAAACATGCGGAAAATAAAATGAAAAGTTTCTGAAATAAAGGCAAAGCTAAAGTAGAGAACCAAAATTAAACCGACATATTTTACTACTTTCCCAAAAATAACTCTCAAGTTCCACTTTATGTGTGGCTGCTGAGCAAATTTTAAGGTGTGCAATATCGACAAGTTTATCTCGCAAAGAGTCTTAAATATTCTTTCGAGTGCAATAATCATTGAGACAATTGCAATACTTGATTGGATATGTAGACATCGACGTTGTCGTCCATTGTTTCGTTTTGTTTTGTGTTTCACTGTTGGCTAACTAACATTTCATAGCCCGCAAGCGTATATAATTGATGAAAATACAATTGTACAGATGACATTTTTTCATAGCATAACAAAAAATATATAAATATATATAAATATAAATAATAGACGAGAGTAAAACTTATCAAGTATGCGACAGTTATAATATAGATGTTTGAATCTCAAGAATGTATCGTTCAATCATAAACATGTAGGAGATATATGTTACACGTACATACACGATGCAATAGACATCGACTACTGGATGTACTTTTGAGTGCCTTAGCACTTGTAAGTTCCATAACAAAAAAATAGTGTCAATCAAATCGACCAGTTTTTTCGCTTAAAAGAGAAAGAAAACCGACCACTAAGGCAGATTTTAATCATTCTCATCGGTGAATATTATTTTCACTGCATCAATTATTTCGAGCACAGTATAATGTTTCAATCAGAAGTATGGTAAAAGTAATAAAGAAACTTGGATGACTTAAATAAAGCAATACATCGACATGCCGAAAAACTGTGTGTATCATCTCTGACGAAGTCCAAACTTATTGCATTATTACTTCGTAAGCAAAATGATTTGTAAATTAATGATCGAACCTCGTCTTTCAGATTGTCATTTGTAAAAAAGTAAAAAACAGTCACTTCATTGTTAAAGAGAGATAGCCGGTTGCAATGCATGTTTTTTCAGCGCCGCACAAGATCCACTGATATATTTAGATGTCGCATGTACAGTTATCCACCGCAACTCGATTATTAATATAAATACATAGTAGTGTATCATAAGAAAAAATATGTGCGCGGGATGAAAAATGATAACGAAAAAGAAAATTCTATTTTTGACACTGGTGCAATACATACGTTCGCAAAAAATTAAGAAAAAACTGTGCCACGTTAAATTCATTCATGCATAAACCGGAAGCCTTCAGAAACACCAACGCTGCTGTGACAAATTTTCAGCTGTTAAAACGCGGATTTGAAATTCTGGAGTTTCTGAAAGAATCCTCCCATTCACCTTAATGTGTACACAACTTTCGATTTATTGTTCTACATCGCAAGCGATTTTTTAAAAACAAAGTATAGCGTCCATGAAAGTCCTCAGCATTACCATTACGCGCACGTTGTAAATAAAAAAGAAAAAAAACACAAAGATTTAGCACCTTACAATAAAAAAGAACAAAAACAAAGTGATTTCTGTCGTTACGGGAGGTGAGCAGTGATATCAGCTTGTAATTTATTAAATTCGTTTTCCAAGCCTGTGATTTTATCATATAACGATGAGAGAAAATAATGATAATAATTTTTAAAGAGGTAAAGAAAATTTTTTACTCGCGACCAAAAGTAAACAACCAGTTAGAATAGCCTATTCGTACTTATAGAGTGGTCTAGTACTTGTTTTTCGCGAATAATAGCTGCATAAATCTTTGAACGATATGAAAGTTGTTGTTTCGTTGTTCGATTCTTTTTCGAAACTTTAGCGCGGAATTGTATTGCTTTGAGCAAAAAGAAAAAAATAATAACACAAATTGTATGATGAAGGAAAAGAAACTGCCAACCTCCTTAAGCAAGCGCAATTACGCTGTTATCTGCATGCAACTATAGCTATGAAACAGTAAGGAAAGAGAGAGAGAGAGAGAAAGAGAGAAAGAGAGAGAGAGAGAGAGAGGAATTATGTTATATATATATTCTTCAAGCCGAGTTCTTCCTCGGTAAAGAGACGTATATATTATGTAGCATCGATGCGCAGCGTTGAACTAGCTTACATATGACATTGACACGTATAATCCGTATGCAATTACGTAGCGGAATGAGAGAGAGAGAGAGAGAGAGAGAGAGAGAGAGAGAGAGAGAGAGAAAGAGAGAACTACGCCGACGTATAGCACATTTATATACATATTCATGCGGAACAACCATCTCACAAAACATACATACGTACGTCGGTTATGCAATTCTTATTAACGATACGCTAGATCAAGAGGAAGAGAGAGTGATCACATTGATTCTGTAAACTTATATATATATAAATCCTGTAACATACGCTATTAATCTTTTTTGGCCCAAAACGACTATTTAAATGGCCTTATGTATTTCCGCTTTGTAAATTACCGCGACGTATGTGTTATTAATAAAAGACAAGCAAAGAAGGCATATATTACAGTGCGCGAGTTATACAGCATTTTGTAAAACTTTGGTTAATCGTCAGGATACTGTTGTAGCTAGAATGAAAACAATACAACTTTGTCATCTATTGTATTTGTACAATGAATGATAAAGCTATCAAAGGAAAAAGAATGACAATGATACAATGAGTGAATTTCGCGTTTTAAGGCTCTCTGCGTTTTTATCCGCCTATCACGCATAGCGAGCGTTCGATTTTACTTTAATTTCTAACTTTAAGCACATAAATATGCGTACGCGCGTGCGCGTGTGTGTCATTCGTTGCATCGTTTTTGTCGCTTTCTTTTCCGATTAACCGCGGAAAAAATAAAATCTCTATCCGAACCGCGCGGATTTGCTGTATTTTTCCCTCAACGACTGCCAAACAAACAAAATTGAATTGAAACAGAGGAAACTTCCTCGATTTATTACGCACATTTCGTTCGATCGCTCATATCACGGGCGATCGAATGACTACATTGAGAAATCAAACAATAATTATTTAACGGGCTAACAATGAAATTGATACGCGCCGAGAGAATCTCGAGGTTTATCGATTAATTAATAATCATGTAGAAAACTTTGAAGAACGAGGGTCGTTTCGTTTGTGTTACGGTTTCCAAGTAAACTGCCTCGATTATTCATCGCTCCTGTAGTGGAAAATAATTAAAATTTTTCTTGGTTGTCTACTCACTTTGTGTCTCTATTTAATGTCAGCAGCGAAGATCCCTTTATCACCTTTTTTTATTCAATAATATAAATGAACTATACGTTAACTAGAATTTTGGATCAATGTATAAATCCTATCACCAGTCTGATATTATTTTCTAATCTATTAATTTTTATTATTGATAAATTTCACGCAAACTAAGTAAAAATATTAAAAATCGCTGACAGCAGCAGACTCGGCAATCATCAACAGTTTATTATCGTTTTCTTCATTTTATCAATTTATCAATTGTCAATATTTTATTGATATATTTATTTTGATGATAATGGCGCAGTCAATCCTAGTTTTTTTATCTTTTTATATTTAGAAAACGTGAGCATTATAAACATTGTTTTGTACCTGAACTGTTTTATTGAATCAGTTTCCTCGAAGATTTGCTTTAAAAATAATAAATTCGTTTGGTTTTATTATTTCCCTACATAGGTAATTTTTTATTACAAAAGTTTGAGTACTATCATTTTTTTATTAAAACGGTTCTTTCTAAAAAATCATATTTTATCGAGTTTTATTGTGATTTGATCTAAAAATTGTCTTCAAATCACTGTAAGCAATTATGTTTTATTATTTTTACTTGTAAATAATTTTGCTTTATAAAAAGTAATAAATACATTATTCGAAATAAATAAAATATGTATACTGCAAGAATAATCATTTGATTTTATTAATATAATACTCGATATGGAAAGTGTAGACTTCAAGTATTATGTTAATGCTTTATTTCAAGCGGTTTGCAGTAACGTTAAAATAAAGTTGTTGGTTATTCAAATTAATCTTTCTTCTGATAAAATTCTTAGATCCTTTTAAGCCAGTATTTATTTTGCAAATCTTGTAAATGTTATGGTGACATTATTTTATGTCAATCACTATTTTCAAGGCAATAAATAACAAAACGCACGTTAGACTAACACTATGTAGATACTAATTTATCAGTCACATTGCAACATGACTGAATATGATGTAGTAAGATACCAGTATCAAAAAAAGAGTTCAAAATTACCGCTTACAAGTATGGCGCCCATTCGCTGCAGTCTACACATTTGAAGGTTATAAGTATGGATTGGTCGATTTGCATTTTTATTTCATATGTTAAATTTTTTTATAAAATATTTTGTGAAATTTAAATTAAAATTGTTTCGTTAAAACATTTTTTAAATGTTTGTTCAGACGGAGTATAAAATTAAATGCTAAATTTTATGGAAACGGTAAATAAAATCACTTATTGAAACTTTTTCGTTCATGTCAATATTGTTGCTTTGAACAATCATTAAACATTTCATCTTTCAGTTTTATAACGGTAGATGACGTTTGTTGAATGAGTGAATCATATTTATTATGGCTGAAATAAAACGAGTAACCCTCCAACCTGTTGATGATGGTCAATCGTCAAAAAAATCTAGTAAAACTGCTAAGCAAGTTGCATCATCATTTCGTTTTGAGATCAATCTTATAGATTCAAATGAAGAAACATATACTGAAGTAAACTATGCTCAATTATTGAAGAGTGCTGAAAAGAAACAACGAAAAGAAAAAAAGAGTGATTATCCTACCAATGGCTTTACCAAATTTCCTGATGATGATGATGATGATAAAATTCTTGACGTTGCTAGATATTATGAAGAGAAATATGGAAATCGAAAAAGAAGTGATTATGTAGATTTAGGAGCAGGCTATGACGAAAATGACTCTTTTATCGACAACACAGATGCTTATGATGAAGTTGTACCCGAGGAAATGACTACTGTTCATGGTGGATTTTATGTAAACAGTGGACCTCTTGAATTCAAAGATTCTGATAAAGTTAATCGTAAAAACAACACAAATGGCAGTAACAAAGAAGAAGAAAACAAAGATGATAAAGAAAAGGATTATAGTGACGAAGAAAATTATAGTAGCAGTGATAAAGAGACCGAGGGTCAAGTATCAAATGTCAATATTAACAAGAGACGTCTCAGTTTTTCTAAAGATGAGGAAACAGAGATAAGTCAGCAGCCTCCAAAATCTAAAATATGTACAGCTGGCATAGAACAATTGCAGCCTCCCACAATCATGATACGTACAGATCTTACAAAACATCAACAACCTGCTAAGTCCAAATTAGGTACAGATGATGCAGAATGCGTTATTATAGATTAAACAGATTATTGTTGAACACTAGTCTGAGCTGTTATAACTTTTGTCAAATATTTAAATTCTGAAAGACACTGTTATTTTATAAGTATGTAATATATAATATATAAGCATAATTGGGTGCTTTCCTGGTAAAACAAAATACCATAAATAATTTTAAAATGTTAGAAAACAAACTCTGTGAAACATTCTATTTACTCAAAGCTAGACTGTGATACATATTATTTTTACAAACATTCATTGAAAAGTATATTACAAAAATGTTTTTGCTGATTTAATAATTACTTTTAATAATCAAATTTGCTATGTCAATATATATTTATTTCTTATTCCTGTATTTTTAAAGTTTAATAATAAGTCTCATTTATTTATCTATATATGATTATTTTGGCTATGTAACAGTAATTTCATCACTCCATTTCATTACAGGCAGATGCAGTGCAGAAAGTTAGAACAATTGAAGTGCCCACTGCTTCATATAATAAAGTTTTGTAAATAACTTTGAACTAATTCAACTTTATTAATTGTTACAGATTTAACTAGATACATAAAGACTGAATATGGATATTAATGTATGGATATTAATGTATGATATTCAATTGATATATTTCGTAGCCATATAAAACGTTTTCCACGTTATATTTTCTATCAGTGGTATCCAACAAATCAAAGTAACTAAATTGTATGAATATATTATTACATAAATACAATTATTCCTTTCAAACCTAATATCATTTGAATGGTCCTTTGATGTAATGTTCAACTTTCTTTACAATCTCTAATCTAATCTATTACATTTTCTAATATTTCTTTAACATCTTTCAATCTACTGAAATATTGACAATCTTTCTAAATTTCTGTAGCTATTCCATCATTAAAATCTGATTACATATATTAACTCCAAAATAAAAGGTAAATGACAACTCTAGATAAATTGATTGCATATTTATAATGGTATTAATAATGAACCTGTATAACTCGTCTATCATCGAAAATGTGCTATTAAAGTCCGCATTGATTTGCAAATTCTAATAGTTTTATTGATATGACTGTTTTAATGTAATGTGTTTAATTCGCCGGTAAAATATTTAATTTCTCCTAGCTAAAAATAAAAGCTAGTTTCTTTTTTAAATTAAACTGGTAATCATAAACATTTTTTGACACGCCGTCATTTTTACTACATATTTTTCTAATGCTTTTTATCTTCAATAATTATACGTTTCAAAAGAGTACGCGAAGAAAATTATTACGAGCTAGATACTAATTTTAAAATAGCTTTGATAAAAGATGGATAAATTTATTGTCGTTGCAGTTACTTTTTACCAAAAATAAAATTTTTTAATTAAAAAATGTTGCTCGGCGATCCACTTATTTTTACCGTCAGGTAATTAAGAGTTGAATGTTAATTTTTTTTTGTCAAATTTTAAGCCGAAAATTAGTAAGTTGCTGATTAATACGAAAGTCAAGACATGGACATATGAAGTTAAATGTATATATTAATATAGTAATAAACTATTGTTCGAATCAACGCCGTCTTCATTCTCTCGCGGCTAAACAATGCAATGTCAACATCATCATCATTTATTCTGTCACTTGCTCTTATCATTGCTAAAGCTATTTTTAAAAAATTGATATTTGTTTACATCAATACAAAAAATCAATAATGATATTAATAGACATATTTTTTCGTTGCGGTAGCTCAAATGATGGCTGGCAACCCATCCAGGCAGGACTTTGTCTATTGTGCGATTAAACCAATAACAAATGATGCCGATATTCAGCGAATCAAAGGGCTAAATTTTTGCAGAGTGTTATAGTGCAAGTATTCGGTAGCAAGATTAAATGTACGTGCGCATAAAATGCTACTACGAATGTATTAACGTTCATCACAAGAAATTTTAATTATATATGTCTCTATGACAAGCGAAAATCTAGTAGAAACCCGCGGTTTTATTCATATATATATAACACTCGATCAACTTCTGTGGTTTCATTTAACTTTAATAAGCTGTTTGTTTATGCGAAGTTGATGCATCACACGATATATTTTATCGAGACAAAAAAGTTGCCCAGAGCTCGATGTAAATAATCCGTTACGTTATTTTTCCACCGCGCATTTACAAAATGAAATCTTGAATAATTGTAAGATTTACTTATCAATTATGCATTAAAAAAATGTATAATTAAAACAAAAATTTGAACAAATTTACAAATTTTAAGCTCCACGGAAGAATAGGAATTTAACTTTATTTTATCTTATTTCAGCTGTAATAGACTAATTTTTACTATAATATATGTGTCATTCATCATCAGTATTTCAACTACGCATGGATAATTATTTAAATTTTGTAAATCAACAAAATTTGTTTGCGTTAAACATAAAGATTCGTTGATTATAAATTAAAAAACTAGCCTCTCTAGTTTTTCTACCTAGTTTTTAATTTTTCCATCTCTTTACCAAAACATCCTAATAATCTCTATTATGTAGACAAATGTCTATAGTTTACACTTCACGCTTCACACTATATATAGTATATACTCTGCTATATGGCAACTTGTCGCGCATGCGCAGATAAGCTTTTGTAATATCGCCATTGTCTGAATAGCCACAGGCAGCGTTGCAATATACAATTGCAGTAATTGCACGGTATCATCAACAGTCCTCGACTGAATATGTTAGTAATGTTTAACTAGAATTTCGAGAAACTAATTTTACATAAAGTTTAATTTTATTAGTTAATCTGCTAATAAAAATATTAAAATGAATCAAGATAAAAGTACCAAGATTGCTCTTCTGCAACTACTTCGAAAATACAATTTCAAAGCAAGTACAATATATAATATATCATCAACAAAATACATTTAGTAAACATAACCTTAAAAATTTGTTTTTAAATACGATAAACAATATACCAAAATATTCATTCTAGGAGACAGAAGAATTGTTTAGAAAAGAAGCAAATCTAGAAGATGTATCCATTGATGATGTTCAGCAGCCTGAATCAGAAGTTACTAGTGTCTTATCAGCATACAAGAGTGAGGGTGATCCTGCTCTGTATGAAAAATCATATTCGGATTTAAAAAAATTTGTTGAAAGTTCTTTAGATATATATAAGGTAAATTTAAGTTTAAAAATATCCTTAATCTTTAATATTTTTGAGTTTGACAAAGATATGGTATAAAATTAACTATTTCAAAGTATTTTTTATAAAATAGTATTCATTGACTATTAATCATCTCAATTATGGTATATTTCAGCATGAATTAGGTACTATTTTATATCCAGTTTTAGTACATATGTACCTTGAGTTAGTGTACAATAACCATTCCGAAGAAGCTAAACAGTTAATTGACAAATTTAGCTGTAGCTTAGAGGAATATTATCAAAATGATTTAAAAAAGTTGACTCATGTTACAAAAAGAGAGCATATGGCAGGTAATGAGCTAACAGATACTTTCAAGTAAGTAATTTAATTTATTTTCAACACTATTTACTCTTATGGTTAACACGACAAACTCAATATTTTGTTTGTTATTTGTGTAGATCAAATCAATTTATAATAAGGATATCTCGAGATACATTATCTATATTAAAAAGATATTTACAAGAAAAGAAACATAGTATTTTGTTGAACATTATCCAAGAGCATCTTTATTTTGATATGTATGAAGGTGTAGCTAGAAACAAAAATCAAATCGAAGCAACTTCTGGAGCATTGTTAGGAGAAGCAACAAGGCAAGGTAATTAGTAAATGATTTATACATTATACTAATGCATGTATAATAATCACTGATAGGTAACTCATGATTGTTTTATTTTCTGTAGATAACAAGGCTAAGGTCTATTATGGACTTTTAAAAGAACCAGATTTTCAATTTGCTAATACACAAGAAGAAGAAGAGGAGGAGATTACTGGACCTGATGGAGATAAACCAAAGAAGAAAAAGCCAAAAAAAGATCCATTATTTTCGAAAAAAACAAAATCAGATCCTAATGCTCCACCAATTGGAAGAATGCCTCTACCTAATTTGTAAGTATCTATATAGAAGAAAAAATTACAATATTTTTACACAATTTTTTAGTTTTAATAAACGCATTTTTTAATTAGGAAAGATGTTGATAAAATAGAGAAAATTAAAGCTTTAAGAGAGGCATCAAAAAGAGTTGTACTTGGTCCTGAAAGTTTACCTTCAATATGTTTTTATACCTTATTAAACTCTGCATATAGGTAAGGTGTTACATTATTTAGTAACTATTGGTGTATTGAAATTAAGGCATAATATTTACATTAAAATTTTATTATTTGATTTATTTATTCTAGTGTTGTATCAGCAGAAGTATCCGAAGACTCAAGTTTATTAGCTGTGAGTTTTAGTGATTCAGTGATTAAAGTTTGGAGTTTAGTTCCTCAAAAATTAAGAATGATGAAAGATGCAGAGCAGCTTGTAGATGTTCCACATGATGCTGGTAAATAACATACTTTAATTCAATAGATATTTATAAAAATACAAAACTTGAAAAAAAATATTTATAAAATATTTGCAGATGACGTTTTAGTGAGAATGATGGATGACAAAACTGCGGAGTCAGTACGCACACTCCATGGCCATAGCGGACCTGTTTACTGTCTTTCATTCAGCCCTGACAAAAATTTATTACTATCATGCTCAGAAGATGGAACTGGTAAGAGACGTTTAATTTAATTAAATTAAATAATTTATTGATGTTGATACTGACAAAATTTATTTGTAAAATTAGTGAGATTGTGGTCACTCCATACGTGGTCCTGTGTTGTATGCTACAAAGGCCACCTTTTTCCCGTATGGTCAGTGAAATTTTCTCCCCGTGGTTATTACTTCGCCACTGGTTCACACGACAAAACAGCCCGGCTGTGGGCTACAGATTCTCATCAACCACTTAGAATATTTTCTGGTCATTATTCAGATGTTGATGTGAGTCTAAAAATAATTAAAAATCGTACATAGACAATGATTCAATTAGTAAATAAACTTTCTTAATAAATAAATTTCGACTTCATTGCAGGTGGTTCAATTTCATCCGAATTCAAACTATATTGCGTCAGGTTCGAGCGATATGACAGTGAGATTGTGGGACTGCGTGACAGGCAACCAAGTGAGATTGATGACGGGACACAAAGGATCAATATATGCCTTAGCCTTTTCCATGGAGGGCAGATTTTTAGCCTCTGCAGGCTCAGATTGTCGAGTTCTCATATGGGATCTGGCACATGGACATTTAGTTGCTGCACTGCCGAATCACACTGCAACCGTATATTGCCTTTCTTTCAGTAGGGATGGAAATATTTTAGCTTCTGGTGAGTTTATTGAATGATTTATTTGTTCTTTGCACCGATTGTTTCGTTTAAAATCTTTTTGCAATATTGAATAAAATCAATCAATCAATCAGTGATCATAAAGTTATCGTTAATGTTGTTTGCGGAAATTTCTGAATTTTTCTCTTTCGTTTGACTTATTAATTCTTTTTATTTTAAATGTAATCATATAATTTGTATGTCATAAGTAACGGTGAGCATTGAATTAATAAAATAAAATAATTAATTATATTGTTTTAAAGGAACTTACGTTTTAATTTCTTTTGAAACTTTAATACAGATAAGAAAAAAAAGATTAAAAAGATAAGAATTCCGCGAAAAGGTCTTGAAGAGAAAATGAAGTCCATTTTATTGGATTCCAAGAAAAAAGTTTCAAAATCAACAGAATGCCCAACTCAAAGCCGAACAAGGAATATTTTGTACGAAACAATGCATCGCAGCATATCCCGTTTTTAACCACATTCAAACTTTGAAACATACCACTGCCGTTATTTTTAATTTTATCCCTTCAAATTTTTCCATTAGTCTGGCCGCCGGCTGCTAATTATTTACGTGTGGCAGAAATATGTATTTACTTTGTGAAACAATGCATGATAATTGAAAACTATTTTATCTTGCAGGTTCATTAGACTTTTCGATAAAACTTTGGGACTTTACAAAATTAGCCGAAGAAATGAGTCTGGAGGACGTAAATGTGTCGCATAATCCTGAAGTAAAGACTTTGTCGGATTCATATTTGTTACGAACTTTCGGCACGAAAAGCTCGCCGATCTTGGCATTACACTTCACCCGAAGAAATTTGATGTTCGGTATTGGTCGATACGACTCGAGTTAAGAGTTATGAAACATTTTTTGTAAATATTTATTTATTTATAAAAAAACGTACTGTAATAAAGTGGGAACAGTTTTATACATTGTACAAACATGCTTTTTGGTGGTTTTCGTTCATTTAGCAACTCCGATACACGCCTATTTCCCTTCGTTGAGCAATAGCCCACATCCGATTCTCTTTTCGATATTTCAAGAGGAAAAAAGTTAAAAAAAGAAAAAACTTCGTCGTTACATAGGTTAATGAGGCCGCAGAACAGTTTTCGCTCGTCCATTCACATTCAGCAGCAGCAGAGCCAGAAAGGAAGCCTCGAGCTAAACAAGCCTCGTCAAAAAATCCATTGTGAGCGCTGGAAAAGGGAAGGAAGGAAGGAAGGAAGTAAAAGGCTACGCACAAATCAATAGGCAGATCGAAGTTCGTTTCCTCTCGACAAAAGGATATTCTGATTACGAAGTACGCAAAAGTGCATACACACTCGCGAGCGGCGCTCTCCTTTTTTCTCTGTCTCTTTGCCTCTCACTCTCTCTCTCTCTCTCTCTCTCTCTCGTGCATCGGCACGCGATGCGGCTTACTACTGTAAAAACGCTTGAGAGTCCGAGAGGTGGGAGTCCACCAGGTGTGCATTATCTAAGGGATGAGCCGGGGTAGAACGCAAGGTACAACAGATGTTAATAAACGCGTTCGGCACGCGCCAACTCGCATTCGTGCGTCGGACTCTTTGCCGCGAACATCGCTCTTGTTTTTTTCCTATTATTCCGCTTGTTTTTAATTTTTTTTTTTTTAATTTCATATTTTTTAACATGAACCTCGAGCACTCCGCGACTAATTCATCGACCAATCGAAGATTTGAGGGTTTCTAAATATCCAAAGAATCGTGTAAAAACAGTGGTCGCTGTGGTGTATCAACAAAAAGTGCAAGTTACTCAATCAAAGTGCGTAAAAATCATGGCCTTAATATCAAGTAACCACGCCAATTACCGATCAGCGTCCCCGTCGATGCTGACAATGAACTACGGCGGGTCGCATATAGTGTACTCGTCGCCACCCTACACACCGCCGAAGACGACGACGAGATACTCGGACGAAAGCGACGTCGCGGCGGTGGTTAACGGGCATCATGAATATTCGCAATCCGCTGACAGCTGCTACGATAGATCGCCTTACGGATTGCTCACCCCGCAGAGGTAACTTTGCTCACCTACATATCCTCCGAACAAACTCATGCATTTGCATGAGAAAGAGTTACCTTGTCTTCGTCCGTTCTTTTTATTCTTTTACTTGGTTTGGAAGCGAGGAAGGATTTATTGTTTTGAGATCTTGATTATGAGTTGACGTTAATTTTGTAACTGAATTTTCGGCGCGTTACCACGTCCGAGATATATTTCGACTTTTCGTTGAGGATTGAGATTAATTTTGAAAAAATAAAAATAATTTTCGACGGGAAATTCTTTCGTGCGACAATAATTCACGGAAAGTGGTTCATGCATACTTATTTGAATTAAAACTTAAGCTTACCGATGAAGAAACAAAAAACTGTTCCGTGCGCTAAAGCTCGATACGACGTTGCACTTGTGCAGATACGAGACGCATTACTCGCCAGACTATCCAAATCCATCGCGGATCCCGAGCTACGAAGAGAATTCGATGGATTACAATAATCAAACGGCGAACTGGCATCGATGCTACGAGACGCCCCCGCAAGAGCCTCAAGCGATTGCAGGCGGTGCGGCCATCGAGCAAAGTGCCGGAGAGACCTGTTGGGACTGCAACGCAGTTACCCCGGTAAGTCTGTTCACCCTCCTTTAAGCATTATTATTGGCTTTATTGAATTGGGGGTCGATTAATAGCTTGATAACATGCCCAATTGATAAATCGTACAGCTTGAAGATTTATATGCTTGGCAATTAATGAAGACACTTAAATCAAGGAACTGAGTGAAAATGAAGTACATAACTGCAATAAGCGATATCTTGTCAACTGAAATTGTGACTTGACTGTGGTGACAGTTGAGCGATCGCGTGTGTCAAGCGTTTGCGTAACGCATAGTACCGATGAGAATCGCTTGGATTTCAGAAAACTACAGCGAGTGAATCGTGCGAGTCGAGTCCCCGGAAGGCCCGTCGTCGCTCACGAGACGTGCCACCTTCGCCGAGCGTCCTGAAACGCCGTCGACTAGCGGCGAACGCACGCGAGAGGCGCCGCATGAACGGCCTGAACGACGCGTTCGACAAGCTGCGCGAAGTCGTGCCGAGTCTTGGGGCCGACCACAAGCTCAGCAAGTTCGAGACGCTGCAGATGGCACAGACCTACATCGCCGCGCTCTGCGACCTTCTCAAGCAGCACGACGAGAACAGATGATCGCTCTGGCGATACTTCTCACTGCCATTAATTACTTGTTTGCCATTTTTTTCGCCGTCCAAATTAAGCGAGAGTGACTCGCGGAGACGACGACCAAGTATGCGCAAGTTCCTTATAACCGATTGCCATCGCTAGACATCGACCGTTGTAATACTCTTTTCAATGTAGTCATTTAAGGACATTACGCTATTTTTGTAATTATTTATTGTTACTCAATGTGTGCGCGTGTGTAATTTATGCCAAAGATGTAATGCCAAGTTCAAAGCGCGTGAGCCAGTGTCATTATTACCTTCTCTTTTGTTGTTTCCATAGTCGCGCGATAAGACAAATTTTAGACGATAAGCTTTCGCTGCGAAGAAATAATAAATAGTGCGATGTTTTGAAAGCTATGGACTTTGGCTGCCATACCTTTGTACAAAAGGCGTTTGAAAAGTCCGTGCAAAAATGAAAAATACTTGATTTTTTTTAATAAAACTTTTTTATTTTTCAACACAGTCTTCTTTTAGGTTTATACACTTTATCTAACACTGCTCTAGTTTATTGATCCCTTCCAAATAACCGGATTTGTCCAAGTCTAAAATAGGTATTCGTACTTGCAATCACCTCGTTTGAATAAAATCTTTTCCCCGCCAGTTATTTTTTTTACATTAGGGAACAAATATTAGTCCGACGAAACTAAGTCTGGAGAGTAGGGGGGAGGGGTGCACTGAGTTGGAACCTTATTTCCATCAGTTCTGCGTCCACAACTGCTGAGGTGTGAACTGATGTGTTATCGTGATGGAAGATGACTTTTTTGTGGGCCAATCAAGGACGATTTTCTTGCGATTCGGTTTTCAAATGATCGAATAACAATAAATAATATTCAACAGTAATGGTTTTACCCTTTTCTAGATAGCCGATGAAGATTATTCCTTGTAAATTCCAAAAGACAATCGCCATAATCTTCCCGGCTGAAGGAATGGTTTTTGCCTTTTTTGTTGCAGTGCATATTCTATCCATAGAGATGAAACGATGCTTAAAGTCCTACGAATTTCGCTGGAACAGCTGCAAACCATTCTTGTAACACTTCACACGATCTCATTTTTGGTCAATCGTGAGCAACTGCGACACCTACTTACGGGGTTGCATTTAGCGGATAGCTTTTTCACGTTCAAATGTTGGTGCAAAATATTATGTACTTGTTTGCTTGAGATACCTACAGCACTAGCAATCTCACGCACCTTCACTCTTTTGTCAGCCATCACCATATCATGGATTTTATTAATGAATTCTGGAGTGGGGCGACCTCAACGGGACGTCCAGAACGTTCAGCGTCTTTTATGTGTTCATATGGCCGCTCCGAAAATTTGGAAACCACTTTGATTCAACAAAATGAAATTAAACAGAAAGTGATAGACCGATCTGGCTGAAATTTGATGTGTGCTGTTTCAAGATATGCTGCTAACTGAAAATAACCTCGATACGCACCAGAGCGTATTATATATAAGACAATAAACTGACTGATTTTACGTAAAAAGAGAGCATTACTAATTCAATGAACTACGAACCGTGACAAACAATAAGCGCTCGGAGAGTCGAATATAATCAAGTTCACGCGACGGTTGAGATCTCGATCGGTCGCTCGCGCGCTTCCATATCAAAGCTATTATGGTTTCACTAGCTCCTAGAATTCCGTGGAGCGCGCACATGCACATGCATATGCATGCGCGCGCGATCGCGTGCCGTCACGCAGAGTTGGGTTGGACGATTGCACACCCTGGCGCGCACAACTGTCTCGCACTGCGTGTACACGCGCGTACGACTGTACGCGAGATGAGTATCGCGCCTCTCACTCTCGCATTCGGCCACGCGTGGCCGGCGCGTGGCCAAACGCAAAAAAAGTCCATCCCCCCAGCAACAAATGCCCAAGAAAAGAGAGAGAGAGAGAGAGAGAGAGCGGCACGCTCGCTTTATACCATATATCAGACGACGAGCCGCTGTCCAGTGGCTTTCTCCATGGCAGTACGGGAGGCTACTTTTTACTGTTGGGCGGTGTGGAATGATGGGGACTTCGAGCTGTGATAATTAGCCGACTTTCAGTTAGGGGGCCTTCCCACAGGAATTTCTGTAGTTCACGATTTGATAATAATCAAACGCAATTTGAATTTAGATTCAAGGTCCGAAATTATAATTACAAGAAGGGATGCTTCTAAACTGCCCTACCATTACTGTACTTCAAGTACATATTTGCGATTCGTCTTGACTTATTCTAATGCGGTCAATATGTAAAACGATTTTCCAATGAAAATGTACGGACAAAGCTATCAAAAATAAGTATATAACTGTTACTACTGGCACTCTAGTGCGAGCGGCAAACGATAAAACTTTAATCTTGAAATGCCATTAAAGTAAATTGATACTCCACGTTTTCGATTTATGAATCCATTAGCTATCGAAGCGCAATTAACTTTGAAAGGACATCACCGTGCGTCAATTTCCATTTGCTCTTCCCCGGCTCAGCAATAAAAGAAAGTGGAAAAGGGCAGATACCATAACGACCGGCGCGGATAAAGCAAACATGTACGGTGCATCGTAAAAGAAAGAAGCGAGAGGACAGCACGCAGCGGCATTGTATCGGTGGGCCCGTTATAACATATCTCGAAAAGTGAAATGCCGAGAATACAACAGAGGGTGCACTCTGCGGTATAGCGGATATAGCTGTACATAAATATAGAGGCAGTGAGACGGGGTTGCATTTAGCGCAGACAGAGAGGGGTCGCGCGTCGTCCTCGTCGTCGCCGTCGAAAAAGTGAGAAATCGCCACATGGCACGAGTCATATCGCCGCTGGCACGCCTCTTAATGAGGGGTCTCTTTTTCTCCCTCTATTGCGCGCGTGTCATCTGTTGCTTCGGTTAGCGCTGCGCTATACGTCTACTCGCCGATGCATGACGGCCCAAAGGCTCGGCGACGACCGACGTGCGCGTGCCTCATGCCATCCTCTCCTATAATGTACATATTGGATTTTAACAACGCGATAATTGCCCCACTCCGCTGGCTGTGCGCGGTGGAGTGAGCTGGCCACTTTTCGACGACCTCGTAAATCGATCAACTCATTCAATGATCCTAGCGGAGAAAATTAATTTTTCCCGCGCACATGACGCGTGCGGGCTCGAGCGAACAAGAGGTTGATGGATTGAATATGCCAAGCACGGGATGTACACTGAAATGTTCGCTGGCTTTGTTAGAAAATTCATTTGTCTTATTCGTTGCCCCTTCGCGGTATTGTCGAGACTTCTGTTGACTGCTGTATATAAACATATTCGTTAATATTTAAATACTTGTAAGGTATTCAATAACATTGTTGCTTTGATATTGTTTGCGCTTTTGAATGCGAATATTGAAATTCATTATTTTTTATTCATGATATCGGCTATTTCGTCAGATCTCTTCACCGCTGCTTCTACGGCATTCATCATGGAGGCCCTGTAAAACGAGATATGTCATATTCAACTTTCAATAGATTACTGTTAGTTTAAAGATCAAGATATTCACCTGACACCACCCTTTTCTAATTCATGTATTCCACAGATGGTAGATCCGTTAGGTGATGTTACCTCATCTTTTAACTGACCTGGGTGTTTACCAGTTTCCAAAACCATTTTTCCTGCACCAATTAGAACCTGTGCGGCAAATCTTAGAGCTGATGCACGTGGAACCCCTTTTCTAACAGCTCCATCAGCAAGACCTTCTATTATTAAGTAAGCCTGTAATTATATTTTTTTTTATAAAATTTGATTCTACTATGGAATATTTTTGACTTAGTATCATATTGAATTCTTTTACTTACATAAGCTGGCCCACATCCTGACAGACCACCAGCACTAGTTATAAACCCCTCACCAATTTTTTCACAAATGCCCAGCTGAGAGAATAATGTAGAAATAATAAATTCATCTTCCTCTGTAGTCCTCAAACTGCAGTAAACTAGAGGAATAATAACTTATTATTTTTAGCTAGCTTTATTTTAGCTTTTGATTATAAATTGATTTGATCGTACCAGTTATTCCTTCAGCTACCATCATTGGAGTATTGGGCATTGATCTTATTATTCGTGGAGCAGAGTCAATAGACTGAAGTTTCTGTCAATGAAAAATAAAGACAATAAATATTTTATTTGTTCTATTCATTAAAAATGTTTACTTACACTGTCTAAAGCATCCAATGAAACTCCAACAATGACTGATACATATAACTTTCCTTCAAATTTATAGATTGAATTTTTACAAGTTGCTAATGCTTCATCTAGTATGTGTGGCTTTATAGATAAGAATATAATATCACAATTTTTTATAACTTCATGATTTTTTAAAGTGGTATGAATACCAAAACTTTTCCAAATACTTAATGATTGTTCAGTACGACAGGATACCCATATATTTTGTGACTTTAAAACACCTAATAAATAAGAGAACAAATTTTTATTTAATATTATTAAATAAATAAATAATAATAATAATAATAATAATAATAATAATAATAATAAGCAGTGTATTACACTGCTTGCAAATTTATATATTTATTAAAACAATATATATAGTTAAATAAAGGCTAAATATACCTTTTTTTACAAGTCCAAATCCTATCGCCTGAGCCATATTACCTCCACCAATAAATCCAACCTTTTTCTCTTTTATTACAGTTACATCTGCCATGATTTTGGTTTTTAAGAATTGCTTTTTCAGAAGTAGTGTTCCACCAGTAAATATTTAATAACAGATTAATAATTGCATTTTGTCTTCTTTTTAACACAAATGGAAATGCCAATTTAATAATTTGTCATCTACTGATATATAGCTCCGCGAAAAATATTTCCGATTAGGCACTCATAGCCTGTGAGAGATTACTGAACCAAAAAACAAATTGATTTATCATAACGCACAGTGCTTTTTTTAATCGGAAATCTACTGTCTGACATTAGATAAGGTTAGAGTTTAAATCGAGTAACACGTCGTCATGGTAATAAAGATATATTTTTAATTTTCTATTAAAATTACTTCCGCTGTCGTCGCAACTATTGGCAAAAAAATATAGAGGATTATATATATTCATGCGCATTGTTATTTAACAATTGTAGCACGATGAACGTACGTAAATGTTAATATAATCGATAATCAATTTGAAAAAATTTTGTTGCCCTTCAACGATGCCACTCTTGGATTCAACTTTAGTTTTAATCCTGATCGTAAAACGCAAGCCAAGATATCTTTCATTCATGAAACTGTTGCGCGTTCATTGTGTAAGCCAAAAAATCAATAAGAAATCCATTTGCTTGCATTCATATGTCAAACATTCAAATTTTCCCGCGTTTTTGCAGTGACTCTCAATAAGCTAATGGCGCTGCAGCCTATTCGCGGCCTCGCAACAGCTGAGAACCGCTGAAAGTCGATTGTTGATGAACGGGTTGTTGTAGCCACTAGCCAGCTCCAAATCGCAGTACACGTAGTTTACTTAGGAAAATTACCTGGGAATTGCTGATAGAGAAGATCGATGCTGACAGTTTAGTATCTCGTTTCTTGTTAAAGTGCTATCAGTCAGTTATTTTTTTGTCAGTGTCGTGCGTCCCGTGAACTTGTGTGCCCAGTTAGCCTACTTTCCCTGTTACCCTCCAAGTGCATGCGTACGCGCATACGACACGCACCATTGTCGTTGTTATGATCTGGCCCGTGAAAATTTTGTTTACCCAATGAGCTTTAGCGGAGTAAAGACTAGACAATCGTCCAGTCATTGATTAACATGGACCAAGGGGGCCCTCCTGAGGGGGCCCCTGTCATCATCGCCGACCCCATGGATATGACTATCATTGACAAAGTTTGTGAGTCCAATTGGCCAGATGACAACATCGTATCGTCGTCAACATTTTGTGATAATCCCAAAAAGCTCAACAACAAGTACCTCTTTCTAACGGTAATTCTCTTATTCATACTTGTTTTTTTGACTTTGAAATAATTGCTCTATATAACTGTCACTCCATTTCTGAGTGTTTGATAATCAATAATAGTTTAAACTTTTGACCTAGTTATTTTTTTATTCCAGTTTCACAGATTTCATTGCTAATTAGCCAAATATGCTTTCAGGTTGAATATGTTGACGATGGAGCAAAAGATTTTGGACGCATATATCCATCATATGATCAAGTTTCTTTTTCATCTAGACCAAATTCTCCTCTATCTGATTTTGAACATCAAGTTAGTCCTCATGATCCGAATATGAGTTCTGCTGCAAGATATTCACCAACCCCAGTTCCTTTGCCTTCATCACCATTTCATAATTCAGTAGTTGTTCTTCAAGAGCCAGCATCACCGCTGATATCAACATCAGAATCAGCTGTGAGAATGGCCAATGATTATACAACCCATTTAACTGATCAATCGTCAACTCCAAGCTTGTCCCAGAGTGACAATTCAGAAGATTTCACAGATAGTACAAGTGATGGATTGGTTTCCAGTGTTGGAAATGAATTAATGCTCATTCAAGGTAAATAATAAACATTTTCTATAAATTGTTATGAAATTATTAAGAAATGTTTACTTTAATATTCATATTATAGGTTCTAACACAGATCTAGAACCTTCATCAACACCACTAATGTTGACAGGAATATCAGGATCTGATTTAACTCTTACGAGAGATTTTCTTGTTATGCAAGAAGATCAAATCAATGTAATGAATTCTGTGAAATTAAATTCTAGTCTTGATTCTAATGTCAATCAAGTCACAGAATCTATTTTGCCACATGATGTAGAAGATGAAACTAACGCACAAATTACAATGAAAAGTTTCAAAAAGATTACTAAACAATCTGAGCTGTCATATGACAAGAAGGATGTGATTTGGTGTAAAGATCAATCTGAAGATAATGGATTATGTAAATAATTTTGCAATTTTGATTAATAATTAAGGATGAATTTCACTTTTAGAAAACGCGTTTACTATTGTACTGTTGAAATCTTCACAGGGTATGACGACTGTGATAGTACTTGCACAGATGCAGCTGATTGCACCTTACACAGCGTATGCACGATCGCCGATCAACCAGTTCCTTCTCGAGCAGTAGCTACATTACCGGGTCTCTATTTATCGATTGAAAAGCTTCCTTCTTCTAATATTACAAATCAATCGGCAGAATTCGGCATTTTCGCGAAACGAAGTATTCGACGACGCACTCAATTTGGCCCGATCGAGGGTGTTTTATGTCCTTATGATGGTTCAAAAATTCAAGGTTTGCCATTATTATTGGAAACTAAAGAAGAAGGAGAATTCTTGAAAATCGACATTTCAGATGAAAGTAAGACATTTTATTTTAAATATTTTAAGTTACGGGATAACAAATATTTTAAATAATTATTTTTTTCAGACACTTCGAATTGGATGCGCTTTGTCAGACCTGCTACGACTTATGAAGAACAAAACTTAATTATATGTCAAATGAATGATGCAATAGTATTTCTCACTACAAGAAACATATTGCCCAGTGAAGAGTTAAAAGCAGGTCCTAGTATTGAATATGGAAAACTTCGAAATCTACCGGTACTTGAAATCATTCACAAAAATATTTTAGGCAAGTAAACTTTAGTTTTGATATTTTCTATGTAGTTTATAGTGGTATAAACAATTTCACAATTTTTTTATATTTTCTGTGAACAGATTCAAGCACGGATTTTTGTAGTCAATCTCACATAAAAAATAGTTTATTAGAAACTACCGATGAAAAACTACAAAACAGTACAAATATTGATAATCGTCAAAATAACTTTACCCAACTTCAGAAAAGACGTAAAGTTGCGAACGAATCCTTTCAGTAAGTTTGTTTAAAAATCGTGATGAAATTGTTTGTTGAATTGTAATTGAAGAATGATATAATTATTTTTTTATTTGCGAAACAGAAAATATTTAGAAATTAATGAAAACGACGATGATGATTTTGGCGATTCGAAATTCTTCAAAACTAATGCAAAATATACTTTCAACGAAGAAAAAGAAAAGGAAAACTCCCCCGATACTAAAATGGAGTTGATGAAAGATGAGATTACACAATCTGATCAACCTGATATTTCGGAGCAAAATACCAATGTCGTTTCATCTAGCGTATACAAATGCGTACTGTGCACAAAGCGTTTTTCAACAAAAATGAAGTTTCAGCAACACTGCCTTGAACACGATGTCAAAAATAACGAATCTGCTACGTGCAATTTCTGTTCAAAAACATTTTCCAACAACTATACTTTAACTCGTCATCTGAAAACTCATCAAAGTAAGTGACCTACTTTGAATAAACTTGCCTTTGAGGACATCCAAATAAAAGACTTATTCACTTATTGTTTACTATCGCAGAAGAAAGACAAAACCTCGAATGTCCGGTATGCAAAGAAGCATTTGGGCGCGTTTTAACCTTGAAGGATTCCATAGAAACTCATCTTAATCAAGATGAGACATTTACGTGTCCTCACTGCCCAAAATCATTTACAAGCTACGCTCTTACTCGTAAACACGCTCGAGCTCATCATTTTGATCGAAAACACGAATGCCAATTCTGCTTCAAATGCTTCCCAGCGGCTGATAAATTGAGAATGCATTTATTGAAACACTCTGATCGCAGGTAATTCTCCTTACAAAATTAATATTGAAATCAATTCAAAAGTACTAAGGGTATTTTTGAATTAATACTTAATACAATAATTTATTTGCATTAAAGGGAATTTCAATGCGCTAACTGCGGTAAGCAATTCAAACGGAAAGATAAGCTAAAAGATCACGTTACGCGTGTACATTTTACTCAGAAGACTAATAAGGACCAAATATCTTCGAATAATCGTGCCAAAAAGACAATTCCAAAGGTTTGTGGCTAAATTTGATTAATTTTCAATAAACAATTTGTTTATAATAAATTAAATGTTCTTTTCAGCTAAATGCTGTTGACTGTGACCGATTTATTTACAAATGTCGTCGTTGCCAAGTTGGTTTCAAACGTAGAGGTATGCTCGTAAATCACTTAGCCAAACGACACCCTGATGTCCCTCCAGAATCTGTACCTGAGCTTTGCTTGCCAATTTTACGACAAACAAGAGATTATTATTGTCAATACTGCGATAAAGTAAGTGGAATTGCTTATTTTGCAATAAGCAATTTGTTAAAACTATTTCCTCCATACACAGGTTTATAAAAGTAGCAGCAAACGCAAAGCGCATATTATGAAAAATCATCCGGGTGCTGCTTTACCACCCAGCAATAGAAATAAGGACTTTGATATTCCTGGATTGCCAAATCCAACATTCAGTCAGGCTGCTGGCAGTATTAAAACTGCTCCACAGGGCTGTCAATGGTGCCATAAACAATATGCCAGCAAAGTAAGTATTAGAAATGTTAAACTAATAAATTACAAGACGTTGACCTATTTATTTAATCGTTACCTAATCTTATAAGTTCTGTATTAATTAATTCATCGGTATGGTAGCGTTTAAGCAATGATAAATTAAAACGAAGAATTTTCGTTGATCTTGACCTCATTACGTGTAACTGCGCATATGTAAGGTTAAACGCGTGACCTATTTTGACTCCAGGCGAAGCTACTGCAACACCAACGCAAGAAACATTCTAGTCTAATGGAGCCCGCCGATCAGATACCCCGCCCGCGAAGCCGTCCACCGCAAAACCAAAATCAGCCGCCCGTAACGAGCAGTGTGAAGCAGCTTCAGCCAGCAAAGCTGGAATCAGGCGACTTTGATATCTTGAAATCTCGCCTAATGCGCCCCGTTAATGACTCTTTGTCTGCCACATCGAATGGCTTCGAATTAATGAACCCTCAATTCGCTCGAGTACGCGATATGCGTTGAAAGGCCAGCACGAGCGGCCGCGTGACTGCGGCACTTTGACACGAATTTTCAAAGGTAAAAAACAAAAAAAATTCATGCGTAAACAGCGTGTAATTTTTTGTTGTCTGCACAGTCAAGCAAAATACTGTGCTTTTGACTTGCTCTGCGCCGTCCCCCCCCAAAAATCTGTTTTTGGGGGGAAGTGCTAGAGAGTTTGTTGGCGTTAGCCTAGCGCTGAGCGCTTTGGCGCGTTCATGAATGATGAGGTGGTTGTTTTTTGTCTTGTCTCGACGAGTCGCTTGATTTTGAGGGATAGACGTTATTCAGAGTTTATTGAGAATGAAGAAAAGTAACAGAAACACGTTTTAACGAATGGCTTACGTAATATAAAGGAGTAAAAAATAATAGTAATGAAACTAAAATCGCGACTGTCTATGAATAAAACTCAATGTGTAGCAATTTTAATCCAGAATCTCAATCTTGATCTCTATCTCGTAATAGACATTAATTTGAAAACGTCCTTGGACGAATAATCTTTGTCGGAATAAACTCAGTAGCGAATGAAGCAAATTAATTCTATTTTAAATGCCGTAAGCGGTTAGAATATAATAGCTCGGAAATTATCACAGTTGCAGCAGATGTCGTTTAGCGAAACTATTTTAATGCTCAAAGCAAATTTAACAAGACAAAGTAAAAAATCTTTCAAGTCTACTGTCGTAATCGTTACGTGGATTAGTCGTGTGCAAACTTAGCGAGACAAAGGATAAAGAAAAAACAAAAAATATATAAAAGATAAAAAAAATGAAATGTCCCTTACAAACCACGTCCCATGTAGGCGAAAATATCCACCGGTTCCCGTATGAACTTAATCTTGCGCCTATCAATTCTATGTCTATTCTGGACCTTAAGAGAAACCCAAAGGTATACTTCGAATGAACATTAAACTTACATCTTAATAAGAAGTAGCTGTGAAAATGGATAATTTATCATCTTATAGTATACATAAACTCTAACACACGCACACATACAAATACATATATACATATACACTATAAACAGTATAATAATACATATATACATTTTTGTCTCTTCGTCTACCGACGCTTATTCGGTTAAAATTAGCGAAAGAAAAAACTTAACTGTCATCAAATATGTTGTAACTATGCTACTAAAGTGTGAATTTCCATTTTTTCGAATTTCTCGCAATAGAAAAGGAACAAAAAACCGAGGTACAAGAAAGATTCCAAGAGATTAAGCCTGTCGTTAAAAGTGAAAGAGTGCAGATGATAAAGTACGATGCGCTAGAGAAAAAGAAAGAGAGAAAAGAATATATTATATTGTTGCTTACGAAGCGACCGAATGATTTTATCAGATATCTATATAGATTGTATGTAAGTGATGTTTGACAGCTGGACTACTGTTATAACGATCCCAAAAAGTAAAGTAAATAAAGTAACAACGAGCAAACGTCTAGAAATATTTAATGTTGTGTTTTTTAACTGTCTTATGTCTACTTCTTTTACAATTACTATTTTATTTGTATCAGTTTTGTAGAACAGTCCTGAATTCATTTGGTTGAATTTATTGACGTCTCTTTTCGCTTCTGTACGAAGCTATTAATGTCGATACAAATAAAAGTATTAACAAACTCCTCTGACCCATTTCCAAGTTGATTAATATCGTGTACATTTTATACAATAGTAATGAAGTCGTTCACAAACTTAAGAGTAATTCCACATAAGTTACAAATCTAAATCGTAGTATCGCTCATCATTAATAAAACAAGTATTTCTCGAAATCATTTACATAAACAACTCTAAGCCGGTTTTCCTCAAGATTCTTACTCGTGATTATTTATCTAGCGAGAACTTACACCGCATACTTAATCATATAATTTAATTTCTAAATGCCTTAATTGGCGAAATTAAGAATGGTAAATATGTTTTTCCATTCAACGTTGCATTTTTGAAAGATCTCATTCTTCCATTTGTACACGACGATTGCTTGTGTACTTGGCTCAAAGCGATTCAAGGATGAAAGTTGAGAAAGAAATATTCCAACGGATAAAAATAAGTTTTCGTATCAACATTTATTACAAAGACACGCTAATTTCATGTCTATTAATAATTCGTTTACGATGAATAACATTTTTATCCATCATATATAGCATTTTCGAAGGTGTGGCGTTATGAAATTCAATCGAATGAAAACAGTAATCAGGGAGGAGGAGTATGGTTTGCGTACGCGTTCAAAAGATTTCCGACCACAGTGCTTTCACTCATCCACAGCGCACCTTAGTAATCAAAGCAGCAACAAACAAATGACTATAAGTATTTATTATTTATTTATTCAATGCCTCGAAATCTACAATCGTTAAGATTAACATTTCACAATTTGTACAAATTGTGTTGAAAAGCGCTCGCAAGCTCATTCGATTACGATTTATTGATTTTTCCTTTCGTTTCTGCACGATTTGTCAGGCCGGCAAGCTCACACGTCTATCAATGGAAGTTACGTTTTAATAAAAATACTCTTGAGTGGTGTAAATCGCAAGAGTCACGCGTTACTGTGTCTCGCGGTTAAGAGTAAGTGTAAACCATTAATCGCTATCAAAAATTGACGGACATACGAGTGTCGACAGACTCCTTTGATCCCGTCTCCAGTTGATGAATATTGTTGAAATTCCATCCAACAGTAATGAGAATTTGCTCGTGTCCTTGTTGTTCTAATTAATGTACAGTCCTGAAATGCAACAACGCCAAAAAAAAAAATAATAATAATAAATAAATAAATAAATAAATCAAACAGAGAAACAAAGCAGTCCGTCAACGCTCCTAGTGTCACAGACGTGGTTGTTTAAACAGCATTTTCTTAAAATCTCTCTATGTATAGAATCTATACAAACGCGATTAAAACGCATTTTTAGAACTGTTGCACGTGATTGGTCTAGTAATCGAATGTTTTTTATGGTGATTGACAGCCAATATATTCGATATGCTTTCACTCATTCGTGGATTTTCCTAGTAAAACAAGTTTCTCAAAAAACTAATTTTGACAGCTTCATCTATGAACCATTTGTTGCTATCGACTGAAATACTTTCAAGCAGTTATCGGAAAGTTAGTTATTACCTACTAAACCTAATTACTCTAAGATCTAAGATATGAGAAAAACAATTGATCAGAAGATATTTCAACATTTTGCGCTTTAATATATTATAAAGCAATGTCCGACTATCAAGTTGACCTGTGATTTGAAAACTCAGTGGATATATTTTGGGTAAATTTCAAATTGAGTCACTTTTTAACGCCACTGTTATATTAATCTCGGCAATATGATTTAGATCGATCAACGCCTACGACTGCCTGCAATAAAGCATAGATTGGTAAATTACCTACAGCGTGAAGTTTATACCAGCACTGTGAATTAGCCGAAGTGAATGCATCTCCGATGTAGCCATTTTTCGATACTCAGTTAACCAGCGAATTTGTCGACTTTATCTTTCAAAGATCTTTCTTCCACTGTCACGGTAGTGCCTCGAAAATGCTTTTTAATTAGCTCGATTTGGCCGCACAGATGCATCAATACGCTGAATAAAACAACATCACAGCAAATAAGCATAGTAACAGTTAGCCTAGTACTTTCACGGATATAAAAATAAATCCGTAAATTTCATCTTCGTCATGGCCGTGCAATAGGCAATTGCTCTTGGTTCCTTATTTGGTTGATAGCTATTTCTCCGTTGCCACTTCCGACGTACCGCTATTGAATGAAAAACTACCAATACATGCAAAAATAAGCTGGATAATTTAAAAAAACGTAAATATCTCAAGACAACTTCTATGGGCGACTGATCCGTTTGCAATGCACAGTCGACCTTCGGTTGTCATAAATATAATGCACGCATACGAGACATCGATATTAAATTCGATTACGAGTCATCCATTTTTGCGAAACATCTTATGGCGGAACGATCACTAACATCGTTTAATCTTGATCGTACTTGTATGCAAAGAGCCACGGTTCTTGACATTTCCACGAAGGTGTGTGAGCGGAGGATCTATAACGTTGTCGGAAACGTCGCGTCTAAAAGCAAGCAAGTGCTAGCCAAACGCGAATACTCGATATGCATGTTTCAAACGATTAGCCGAATAAGAATTGGCTTTATTCTCCGACATATCGATGCTCGACGAATAAGCACTGACGATTGACCGAGACGTTGAAGGAAAAATGAAAGGTCGTCCGGTTGTATAATTTAGAGGCCGAACACGGCCAACGATCGAAATCTGCTAAAACTCCGTCGTACGCACGTGTCTTTGCGATCTACGGATAGCAAGAGGAGCAACGGGCACGCGGTTGAGGGGCTGAAAAGGGCTTTCGCGATCGCTGTCGAAAATGCGCGAGGACAAGCCGTTGCAGCAGCGCCACGGGAACGCGCACGAGCCGTGGCGGAGCCGCGTGCCGCTTCCTTATCTGTGACCGACCGGAGCCTTGGCGTTCTGCTCGAACTTCTCGCAAGCGATGGCCAGAGGGCCGACGGCGCCGGGCCCCGAATTGAAGGTCGCCCGCGGCAGAGGCGGCGCCGGCGCCGGCTGCGGGCTCGGCAGGTACTGCATGTGAGCCGTCTCGTACAGCTGCTTCTGCATGATGGCCAAGCTGACCTTGTTGGCCGAGAGGAACTCCTTCATCGAGATCAGCTCGCCGGACATCCTTCGCGGCGTGTCGATGGCGCCGTCCATCTCCGGCTTGATCGAGTCGCGAGACACGAGCTTGGTGGGACGACGCCTCGCGTAGTAGATCGCCGACACGGACGACCTGCGGCGGACACAGAGCAAGAGGGACGGACGGACGCAAGTTACTCGTGGGAACGCTGAGACTAGCCACTGCCGCGAGTCGAAATAAAAACGTCGAAACTGACCTTCTCCTGGGCAGATGCGGCGCAGCCATTGCGCCGCGCGGACAATTGAGCTTGCGGATGAGCAGATTGAGCGCCTGCTTGATGACGATCGAGGTGACGTTGAGTAGCGAGTAAATGCAGCAGCAGCCGAGCACCAGGAAGGCGAAGTTGGCGAACCTGTACCTGCAACGAGCGCCGCGAAGATCGAAGCGATGGGCAAGGGCCTATTTTGACTCGGGCGGACTCACAGGTAGACGAGCGGGTAGTCGGTCTTCTGCGTGCTCACGTAATCGCCAAAGCCGATAGTGGCGAAACTGACGAAGCAGAAGTAGAGCGCCTCGAGGTAAGTCCAGCCCTCGAGCGGCGCGTACAGGGCCGCGGCGGTGCAGGCGACGGCGCACGAGGCCAGCGAGAGGTACAGCATGACCCAGTAGACGCTCGGCTTCCAGTGGTCCAGGCCCACCTGCGCAGCCAAGGCGTGTTTCGCGGTGAGCTACCGAACTGCCAGCGCCGAACGACCGGCCGCGGCCTCACCTCGCCCTCGTCCTCCTCGTCCAGGATGTCGGGCAGCGCGTTCTTCTGGTCCCTCGGCCTGGCGCTGCGCGCGACGCGCCGCGAGCTCGCCAGGGTGCTCTGGCGGAGGCGCTTCTTCAGGCGCCGCAGGTGCAGGCTGCGCAACACCCACGCGAGGAACGTGATGATGCGCTCCAAAAACAGGTTGAAGAACAGTATGCCACCTGCGCGCACGTTTTCAGTCGTTTACTCGAGCGCGTCCGTGCGCTGCCGCGACTGCGAGTCTCGTTACCGGAACAGCCGAAAAATCCGTAAAGCACCACGGCTACCTTCCCGGCTGACGTCTGCGGCGCCGTGCTCCCGTATCCTGCCAAGACAAACGCAAACTCGCTTCAGCTGCGCTCGGCGGCACGGGAGAAGCCAACTGACCGATGGTCGAGACGATGGTGCCGACGAAGTGGAAGCTGCCCGGGAAGTCCCAGCGGCGACGCTTGTTGATGATCCCGGTGGCCGAGGCGTTGCCGTACGCGTACAGCAGCTCGTGCAGACGCTGCAGTGCTTGCGCGCTGCCGCGCAGGTGGTGGCGACGGAACGCCTGGTACGTGCGCCAGAACTCGGCCGCCTACGAACAACGCCGCGATTATTCGGCACTGCGGCGCTGCGGCACTGCACCGGGCATTTCCGGGATTTCCGGGATTTCCGGGATTTCCGGGGATGGCGATTCATTCGATAAATCGATCACTGACGGATCCTCGTTGTTTTAATTTTCGTTTGTCTGCGCATTCTCCATCTTTTTCCTTCGGTTATTCGGACGACTTTATCCATATTATTTTGACACGTTCACGGAATCAGCTTGGAATGCCGAAGAAACACGCGAGACAACATTCTTTCTACCGTGAATTCGGTGAAAATCGAGAAACGCGCGAGTTATGTTTTGAATAAAAAAGAAAAACTGCACACTCCACAGATGTAAAATTATCGATTGATCGTCCGAGCAAAGCTTGCGATTGTTATTTTATGTCTTCATGAACTCTACCTTTGACCTCTTTAGAAGTAAATACGTATAGCAGCGCGGCGCGCCACTGGTGGCAAATCAAAAGCGAGATTCAATGCCTGACCCCATGCGCAATGCCTCGCTCTACACATCTGCCTTCGTCACCTTCAACTACATGTATAATCAAAATTTCGCGCGAATGTCAGCAGCGCGCATCACTGCGCCTTGAGCCCACGTGATCCTTTGAGCGCTACGTCCGTTCGCGCGATTCTCTCATTAATTTTTTTTTCCTCAAATTCATTTTATCGACAGCCAAATAATAGATACCACAAGCCGTCAGCCTTATTTTCTACCTCGTTAGCGAACACTCCGGGAGATCTTAATTAGAGGCGATCCGCTAAATATTTATCAGCTAGTGCTTATGCGCACCAAAAAAGAAAGCAGCGCGGCCGCAAGCTGCGCGAAACTTTCGTAATTTATGCATGACGCTGATTGCCACGAAAACTACTCGACGACTCGTTTCTCTGTCTCTTTGCCCCTCTACTTTTGTTGACAAGCAGAATGAAAAAAAAAATGTCTCGCGCGGCAAAACTAAAAAAGCAAAACAAAACTTTCGCGCGACTTCGCGCGAGGAAGTCGAAATATAGGTCACCAACCGCGTTATTGAAAATAATTCAAGGCAGCTGTTACTTGCAAATATAATTTGCACAAAGCTGTATGTGTCGGGTAAACGAAATACAATCGCAATTTCGGATTGCTTCATGCATATTTCTTTAAATCGATTTTCCTTGATCCAGATCTAGGCGCTTAACCCTACTTGCTTTTTTTTCATGGAATTCGAGCGACGATCGTTATACTACGTTTTGAAGTATGATGATTAAAAATATCTTTACTTTTTTCATAAAGTTAATACGCGTTTCTATAAATTCATTGGAACCAAATTCGAGTTGTACCGGTTTTTTTTTAGCATTGGAAATTAAAAATTGTTACACCAAGTTTTTAAATAGTGATTTTTCGTTTAAATAATGATCTATTTATATCTGAGACTTATCCGACAAAAGAAGCTACTATCTTGAAAGTTCGCTCGCTTTATTTTTAGCGAGTGAACGAAGCCCGTAATTTTCTTTTAAAAAATAAGGAAGGACAGAGACCGTGAAGAACGAGCCCGCGATAAAAGAAACGGAGCAATCGCCGTTCGAAGAACTGCCAAAAGACTGCTGATGCACGTACCTGCTTGATTTCAAGATCGGACTCGAGGCTCTGAAAGAGCGCAGCCCCGGCGAGCATGTAAGCCGCGAGCACAACGGCAAGCAGGACGAACCTGGCGTTGTCCTCGGCGATGGCCCCGTGCACGCACATCCCTCATCTCTCGCGTCCCTTTCTCATGACCCGCTGTCGCACTCGCGCGCACACGGACACGGACGCAGTGGCGTCCACTTGCGTCCTACGGTTTTTCGCGCGCGCCGAGCTTTCTCGCCCGAGTGCTCGCGCTTGCGCCCTACGCGGCTATTAATAAGAGGCATCGCGACTCGTTTTTCTTTTTTCCTCTCTCTCTCTCTCTCTCTCTCTCTCTCTCTCTCTCTCTCTCCTTCCAGATTACACTGCGCCGCGCACACGTGTCTTTGATCTCGCAACAGGGCGCTCGTACACTTTACACGTAAGGGGCCACAGCGCCAATCGTCGCCGTTCGAAGGGGGCGGCGAACGATCGCCCTCTCCTCGCCGCCGCTCGCGAGCGCGCTTTTCTAGGGCGCGAATCCTTTGATACGCTGCGGCTTTAAAAATAGACGACGACGCCGGGGGAGTGAAAAGGCGCGAGCGCCGATTTGAAAAGCCAGCCGACAGAGTAAACGGCGCAACCGCGCAATTGAGCGCGCGCTCGACCTTCCGACTCTCTAACCCGCTAGCCCCGAGGCTAAGAATATTTGCCTCCGGGGAATCGCGTCGCCAAAATGAACTTTTCACGTGCCCGCGACTGTTCCGTCGAGCCGAGAATCTTCACTTCGGTGCGTGCGTTGCTGAATAAATTCAGATGAGCCTTCGAAAGTGTTGCTTTTTAATAAAAAAACACAGATTTACGCGTGTGTATATACATGTATATATACTCACATATATTTTTAAAAACAACAGTAATGAGATTGGTTTTACAAGCTAGCAATCTTTGTACAGGGTAGTTAATAATTACTTACAAAAAAAATACTTACAACTCAGGAATGATATCAATAGTACAAAAGTAATTAAACAAGAGAAGAAATAAGTACACATTATTCGTTGCTTAGGTTTAAGTGTCGATGTATGCGGTTCGATCGATGTGCACAGAGGTACAGTTGCAATGAGAGAGCCGTGCTGGTCAATGCCGTTTTTGCACGGGTCCTTCCTCCAACTTTCTCCACACGACCTATAGAATCGATTGACGTGTAAATAAAATCGATTTGATTTACAAATTTTTTTGCCTGGTTTTTCTCTATTCAATCAAAACTGCGTCGAATATTGCTTCATTGCCGTTCAATTTTGTTCTTCTTAAGATTCAACTCCGATGATCTTAATGAAGCTACAATTTTCCACTTTAACGATGACTCGTTAAAGCATATTTCACGAAAAATGATTGAATTCACAATGAAACGTGCACGCTTTCTTTGTGTACTTTTGCTGATCGAACTAATCCAACTTTCATACGCTGACAATTCCGAATTGAATTTACAGTGATCCCGAAAACGAAAATTGGCGTTTGCCAAAGGATAAAGATTCTTACATTGCACATCTCCCGTACGAGGGCCTTCTCGCCATCGTGTCCAGCTTCTCGTTCAAGCTGCTCTCTGACTTCGAGTACCTGCAGAGCTCGAACGACGGCCTCAGGTCGGCTGCCCAAGTGGCAATCGTCGGCGTTACGCTGGTTGTCCCACGGCTCGTTCGGTGCCCAGCCCTGCTGCGCTCGCGCTTGTAACACGCTCTTGTCCTCTTCCAATTGCTTTATACGCTGCTCCAAACTCCTCACGTACTGCATCATTTGATCTGTCAATGTTCATCGTGACATTGTCACGGATTATCATTGAAATTGAAAATACCAAGAGCATTTGCACTTTGATGAAGATTCGGTTGCGCTTGAGTGCCAGACAAAACCGCGCTCGTTCAATCCGGCAGTCGAGAAGCGAAAGGAAAGGCGTGCGCGCACGTACCGTTGAACGTCGAAGCAGCGTGGCGAGACATCCTCGTGGGCGCGGGTGCGCTTTCGTCGGCATTGGTGCTGGACGACGAGCCGTCGCCGTCGTCCCTCTGCCCGCCGCCGCGCTCCTCGTCCAGATACAAGCAGAGCTCCTTCAGCTCGAGGTTGTCCTTGATGAGCTCCTGCTGCTTGTTGTCCAGCTGGCGCAGCTTGTTCTGGTAGGCCGACACCTCCTGGCGCATCACGCTCGCGGTGTAGCGTCCGAAGCGCTGCCACTCGCGGGCGAGCTTACGGCCCTTCTGGCGATCATCGTCCAGGAAGCAGCAGAGATCGCGCAATTCCTGGTTGTCGTCGCTCAGACGCTGGTTCGCCTCCTTCAGCGCTCGTAGCTCGCTCACCTGCGGGTCGCGTCAACAATCGGTTCCAGTGAGCGCTTTCGCCCTGCAGAAGTGTCGCCCGGTCGCCGACGACTCGCGAGAGAGACAGAGAGAGAGAGAGAGAGAGAGAGAGAGATAGTGGGCAACCAACCAGAGCCTGGATCTGTCGGTGCTGCTCGGCGACGAGCCTGGCGATGTCGCTCTCGGTTTTCCTCACGAACTTGAGCATCTCGATGGGGCCGAGCCGCAGAAACTCGTCGTCGGATATTCTCTGCCTAGCGGCTGCCGCTGCTGCTGCGGCGGCTGGCTGTTGAAGTCCATGCAGTGGCGCGCTGGCGATCGGCAAGCCACTGCCGCCGAGTTGCTGCAGCTGCTGCTGCTGCTGCTGCTGCTGCTGCTGCTGCTGCTGCTGCTGCTGTTGCTGTTGCTGTAGCTGTTGCTGTTGCTGATGCTGCTGCTGCTGCTGCTGCGCGCTGCTGCTCGTCGTCAGCGACGTGGGCGTAGCCGCCGTTGGCGTCGGAATGCCCGAGGGCAAGTAGCTCTTGGACTGATGCAAGCCGAAGCCCCCTTGCAGCTTGTCCGCCGTCCTGCGCGTCGCGGAGCGGCTTAGTTAGTCGATCGGTCGTGGAGGCGCGATGTGGTAACGCGATCGACGCACTTGCCGACGGGCGTTCGAGGGAAAAGGCGGAAAAAACGGGCCGCGCGGCTAGCGGAATGCGCGTGCGAGTTCCAAATTGGGCGCGCGCGATCGACCGCGCGACCTCGTTACCGATCCGTCGCGCGTATATGTGCACTGCGTGCGAGAGATCGGTGAAAGTCGAGAAGCCGAGACGAATCTCGAGGAGAAGAAGAGGCGCGAGAAGAGGAATGCCTCCCTCCCTCCCACGGGACGAGGGTCCGCGGTGAGCCCTCGGACGAGCAGGCGGCGCACTGACTCACCGGTCTAGCTTGTGGGGCTGGAACTTGGCCTGCACGGCATCCTTCACCTGGCTGGCGAGCTTGGCCGCCTGCTGCTGGTGCATCTGGTGCAGCTGCTTGGCGGTGAACAGCGAGCTCGCGCTGCCGGACGCGCTGCTCGCGGCGCCAGTGCCTTTGGCGGCCGACGGGGGCGGTTGCGGCGGCGGCTGGTACCTCGGCGGCTCTGGCTGCTGCTGGACCTTCGCCTGCGGCTTGCTGCTGCTCGACATGTCGTGCGACGCTACGACGCGACCAGGCCCATTTCCCGGCTGCTGCTGGCGCTGACGAGGATGCCGCTGCGCCCGCCGCTGGGCCACATACTCGCCGTCGCGACCTTTCACTCGCGCGCGAATGCACGCGCGAGATGGCGCGGCGTCGTCGCGTGTGGAAAAACACGCGCCGCGGGGAAAGTATACAGCGCTCGCGCACGGACTATAGGCACGGACTATACGCGACTGCCGAGATTCTCGCGCGGCGCTCGGAGGAAATCCTGCCGACGGGGGCCCAACATGGCCGCCTCGGCTCGCCTGCCCGCGCCCCGCCGTCCCCGAATCCAGTTCGCCCGTCGACGCACGCCTCCGGCAGCCGCCAGTGATTTTTAAAGGGATCGACGAGGGGGGGAGAGAGAGAGAGACCAGGCAGCCACCTGTGCGCGCGTAGGGCAAAGCCCGTCACAATAGCGCCGGCTCTCTCCCCTCTCTCGAGCTCGAAAGGGCAGCTACCTGTGCGTCGTGAAAAAACAATCTCAGGAATTCCGTGCGCGCCGGAAGTTGCTACGCGGGGACCTCGCTCTTGGGGAATCGCCGACGCGTCGTTTTCTTCCTTTGCGCCGTTGCGTGCATTTCGCTCTCGTGACAGGTCGTCGACAATTGACGAGTTCACGAGGCAGGAGTGCGCCAAGAGATCTATCGACTGCATATCGAGAATTCTCGACAATGCAGTTTTTCGGCAAACATAATGGACGAAACTTTGGAAAATGCTAGCTTTTAGCCCCGGCCCCATAGGTACGTATGGATGCGGACGGATACGGACGCGAATCGCAGCTGTAGTAACATCACTAAAAATATCTAGTTCGATTATTTAGTACCAACACTACCGGTAGTGAGTAAAAGTGACTGTTGTTTAAAACTGTAGCGCCGAACGTACCACATTTAATATTCAAATGTCAGGTCTACAATTTACTTTTCATATTTTCATGAATATTGCTTATTGATGAGTATGCTAATGTAAAAAAAGTTTTTGGGATGATTAATACATATCATTTATATGTATTTTCTTCTTCTTCTCATATATTCAAGTACTTTCATAAAATTAAGGCCTAATTCCACTAATTGTAGTTGAAAGTCTATCAATTCTCTATCATTTGCCATCTTATAGACTGCAATAATGTAAAGGTTAGATAGGCGTTACATTAAATGTGGTACGTTCGGCGCTACAGTTTTAAACAACAGTCACTTTTGCTCACTACCGGTAGTGTTGGTACTAAATAATCGAACTAGATATTTTTAGTGATGTTACTAGAGTTGCGATTCGCGTCCGTATCCGTCCGCATCCGTACGTACCAATGGGATCGGGGTCTTTCGGGCGCAGATCCATTGAAAAGTCCGTCGAACGCAGTCACACGAGTGATTTACATTTGAAGCTGTGTGTGTGTGTGTGTGTGTGTGTGTGTGTGTGTGTGTGTGTGTGTGTGTGTGTGTGTGTGTGTGTGAGAGAGAGAGAGAGAGAGAGGCACTCGCACGGGTCACTATCCGAAGTCGTTCGTGCAGCTCGGGCAGAAAATTCAAAAGCCCCCCTCGTAGCGTGTGTCTCCATCTATCGCGCTTTCGCCGAACTTTTGCCCTTCCTAGCTGTATTACCCGCTCTTCGATTTCACCTCGCCAAGGTACCAAACTGCTGTACCGGCCTTACGCGAAAATCGACCCGACTACATATAGAGATAGGCAGCGCGCGCAACGCCACTGGCCTTCGGCTCCAAAGCCCGTCGCGTTATGTCACTCGCAGAAGCGAGACCACGCCAGTGAAAAGCGGATAGCGCGCTCGTGCTTTTTCCCCTTGCTACACGGATTCGTGGGTCAGCACGTATACACGCTCGCCGACGAAGATGAGCGAGGTTCGTCCACTGTCGAACGTCGAGGTAAGAGATGCGTCCTCCTGCCCCTGCGCGAATGATTCCACGTGCGTTCTACGCGGCGGCGGCAGCAGCGGCTTGCAAAAACGACGCGACGTATAGTTTGCGCGAGCGAGCCGATCGATACGCGACGCACACCGCCACCTCAGCGGCTGATTGTTTGTAAACGCGTATGTCAAGCTAAGGCCTGCAAAAACCGTATATACGCATCGGCTAGACAACGACGGCTTTATCGATCCGTCGCAAGCTAACCATCAATTTGCCTCTCTTTATTTCTCTCTCTCTCTCTCTCTCGCTCTCTCTCTCGCTCTCTCTCTCTCGCTCGCTACTTTTTCAAAACAGCATTTTAATCGCCTTTGATCCCCGTGCGCGTACCACTTTTCCCTTTCGCTAAAGCTTCCTCGCGATTGCCAGGTTTCGTTGCTCGGGCGCGCATTATTTTCGTCACGTTCGCGTACGCGTGGCGCGCGTCGGATGCGTCTCGACAGGCGCGGGTAATTAATTCGGCGCCGCTGCAGGAGCAGCCGAATGTTATTTTGAAATTCGCCGGAACGTACGCCTTCGCCAACGGAAAAGACGAGATGCGCGCGCGCGCTATATTCGTAGCCGAGGGCTACGTAGGTGCCCGGCGCACCGTCCTGCGTGACACAATGCAAATTGAGCTTTGTAAACGAATGTTTAATTAGCGCCAACGGCGATGGGAGATGTCCGAACTGTCCGCTGGCCGACACTCCTGCCCCCTCCCTCCCCAGCCGAGGTCGATCGGGCGTTCGTTCCGCTGCACGTCCGCGAAGACTTTTTGCCGTGGTCGCTGCGCTCACGCAGCTTCGGTCGCGCGCAAAAATTGACGTGCGGCGAATCGATTGCCACCGTTCGCGCTCGATTGGCTCTCCGCAGTTTTCCCGCGAACGACCTGGATAATCGCGCACGCAACCGCAATCGCGGAATATCATTGTCATTGAGAGATCGCGCCGCATGATCGCCCCGCGCGTACACGTGCACGCGCTCGGAGATGCAGCCTCAAACCCGGATCAATGAAATCGCAGCGAGCCGAACGAAGAATTTGCGCAAGTCTCTTTCGCTCGTATCTGTCGGGCGAGCGATACGCGCGGATGACTTCCCCTTTTTTTTTTCGCTCTTCGGAGCGGATCGCGCGCATTATCGCGGAATCTGAAACTCCGCGCGCTTGCAAATGAGCTATTGCGTTTCACAATGGTACCGGGAATGCAACACATCTGCGCGTTGCAAATGTCAGTGCGACCTGCCGACGGGCGTCACAGGAAGTTCTGCGTAGCAAACACAAATATAGAATCGTAGGCGTACATTGTTCGAGAGGAGACAATGGCCGCGCGTTCGCGCCATAATTTTTATCTAGCGACGTGCAGCGAAACGCCGGCGCCTATCGATCAGACCCGTCGCCGGGCGAGCCGCGAGCTTGACTCCGCGGTAGAGCCGCCTTCGTCGAGACGAAATCCGCCTCGTCGCGACGCACAGTCGCAATGCCCCGCGGCCGGTGCGCTCGTCGTGGTTTTGCGTCGCAAATCAATCGCGACCCGGATTAAATTTGTAAGACGAAACGCGCACGACAGAAGCTATAGTCGTGGTATGATCGCTATGAAATGTAGACCTATTATTAGATTACCTTTAATTCCATATCGTCCAAGTGTACGGACACTCGAATCAAGCTACACGATACTACTGATAACGCATCTTCTAGCTTTGTCGAGATCGTCGAGTTCTAAGAAAATATAGAGACATCGATATGTTCAATCAGCAGTGTCGGAGCAGCAGACGAAGTTACCATTCCGTGTAAGCGTTTCTCCAAGTCAAACTGACGGTTATTTGGAGAAAAATTTATTAAATATCAAATACATCTTCGTTCGTTGTCGGGTACCAAATAAAAAAAAAAAGAATTAAAAAAATGTTCTCACGTTCAAGAGGAAAACTACTGACTAAAACGACGCGGCATGTACGCGTGGACAGTAGGCGATCCAATTTGCATCTCATTTATTTTTTATTGCATTTTCAGGAATTGTCTTTCAGAACTTATATTTGATTACAATATGAAATGGGATAAGCATATTAAATATCTAATAAATAAAATAAAATATTTGATTTTTATATTTGCAAAATTGAAAGATATTATGGATTCAAAGATTCTTATGATAGTATATTATGCTTTTTTTCATAGTACTGTTAAACATGAAATAATTGCTTGGAATTGAGTATTTGCAAATAATTTAATCCTAATACACAAAATACAGAACAAAATATTAAAAGTCACAAATAAAAACCGTTTTCTAAATACAGAAAATATTCTTACAATCAAGCAATTGCACAAATTAATCATATCAAAATGACGCATGGGGATATAAATTACATTGGCAATTACCAAGCAACACTTTATTTTGATAAAGGTATCAAAGGGAAACAAATTTTTACCAATTCTGTATATTAACTAAAATTACAACCTAATATAAAGACATCGTAATTGTAGATGAAATTGTTTTTACATCTTCTTGCAAATGCGATTTGATCTTTCAACATTGAGATATGTTCCCATATTATAGAATAATATGTGCAGTTGGATTAACCTGTCCTGCAAGATTAAACCAAATTGAAAGATTCGTATTTGCAAGAAATATGAAAGCATCTACAAGAAACTTTTGTACCGCCAAACAAATGCTCATCAGATTCTGATGAACATATAAAGACAAAATGTCCAATTATAAGAATGTAAGTTTGCTTATAACAGAAGTACACTACTGCTGAATATAAGTAAGCGAGATAATACCTGATTAGTAAATATGAATATTATAAAACTGTTAAAAATTGAAATGTATGTATTTTATATATAATTATAATATATTTTGTTGTCCATAGTATGTAAGTTTTGTTTATGTATCCAGCTCTATGTACAGATAAATTGTTTACCTATTCAGGCAATTACAAATGTACGTGGAATAATCCATGAACTTTGTATTTTTGGATCAATAAATTCAAATTTAAAAAAATTCAAAACTAACGGATCGCTAAAACGCATCCATATACGTGTGCATAAAACGTAGACGCTGATACACAAATCCCAATTGTCGCGTAGTTGACCGAACCAATTATTTCCTTCTCATTACACTTGACGCTTCGATAATTGCAGCTATGTTTCGGTTTGCCCTTGAACATCGATATCCAAAGACGCACGCAGAAATAGAAGCTAATCCAACTATTGCCGCCGCGAAAAATAATCCACGCCGAATGTCAGAGACGCCGCTGAATTTTTGTGATGCAAAAAAAACAAAAAAAAGCCGCGACGCTCTGCTTTATTTGTGATCCAGAGTGGTTCGTAAACTCTCGCGTTTCGTCCGCGCAAAAACTCATCTGGATAGTTTTTTTGAGTAGCTCGGCTGCGCGCCCGCGGCGCAAAAAAGCCAAGAAGATAAATTCGTCGGCGAGGCGCGAAATTCCGACGAAAGAAAAACGGCGGGCATGATGAAATCTGGCGCCCGAGGGACGTAACAATTTCACGGTCGCGTCGTGGATTTTTGATCGGGAACGCGAGCCGTGCTTCGACAGGTAACTGCCGCGAGCGGCGTCGTCGCAGTCCCGGAGCGCGCGTACGGACGCCGAATCCGAGAGCGGCCCGCGGCGTCGTCTAAAGCTGGCGAGCACGAGCACGTGCGGCGGGTATTTCGGGCACACGTGCTCTCCGGCGCCGCGAACTCTCGGGCGGCCCGGCGCTCATTGAGCGGAGTAGCCCCTCTCCCCCCGTGACGCCGCGTGCGCGGCCGGGTAAGTTTACGTCCGTGACACGTGTTTTATCTCTCTCTCTCTCTCTCTCTCTCTCTCTCTCTCTCTCTCTCTCTCTCTCTCTCTCTCTCTTTCTCTCCCTCCGCGGCGGCAAGCCGCAACAGTACGCAGTATAAGGCATAAGCGGAGCAGTTGACTGCCGGCACTCGGAGCGCGTGGATAGCACTCGAGAAGCCGGTTCCCTCCGAGATTTTCGGTCGCGCTTACTTGCATTTTTCGTTTAACAATCTACGCTTCGTTTCCCAATAGTTACGTTCGCGCATTCGTCGAGTGCGTGGGGACAGTGCTGCGGTATACGCGTCGACAGGTATGAGCTGCGATCAGATCATCGTGCGATCTACAGAGCTAGATTGATCAAGTTGTCGCTTAACCGGACTCGTACGAAAATTCCATCCATATTTATTTTCTTGGTGAGGCCGTGCATCGACTGTCGACGTACAGCCGTTGAAATCATCAAAGTTGAAATCATCAACAGTTCTCGCGGCTCGCATCCCGCCAACTCACAAACTTCGGACGTATGGAATATTTACGAGGCGATACATTTAATTTAGTGAAGAGTTGCGAGCGACGTCATCGCGGTTTTTCCGCGTAAAGACGAGGCAGGTGTGGAAAGGGCGATAGCCGGAAAATATCGAGCCGAGCATCTTCTTAATTTTGTATGCTCATCAAGATAAAATAAAGATAAGATATAATAGAAAGAGACTCAGCTAAGGGGCAGAGCGTGCGCTTGCGACTTTAGGTGTAATAGCGGCGCTGGTTTTCACCGTTTTTTGCAATGCCATTTGTATTTCGCGGAACGCGCGTTAGAATGACTTCCGCGAGGAGTGACTATGCGCTGTCGCGAAAGGTTGAGCGAAACTGGTTCGCCGAGCGTCTTACGATGTATCCAAGGTCGGCCTCCTTCCGCCCTTGCATTTTTGGAGCTTTGTGCGTGCGCGCGAATCGGCCGAGCGGAGGCCGATAGCGAGCCGGTGCCGCGTGATCGGATCGCAATGGGGGGACCTTTCACGCGAACTCGATGTCGGAGAGATGCAGGTGGAAAATTTTTCAGCGGCCCATTGGATTTTCGGAGCGCTCGGTAGAGGCTCTTTTTTTTCTTTTTGCAAAAATTTCATTCTCGAGACGATCGGCTCCAACCTCATTTTCTCCCGAGCAATTAAGATAGGAGCCTCGTCCGCTTGCTTTGCGACGTCACCGTCGCGCTTTTCCCGCGTGCGCTCAGAACCAGTTTTCTCGGAAATTGGTCTACTTCGCGTTGTTCAACGAAAGTTCGTCGACTCGCAGTGGCTCGCCGCGCGCGCATCCTCTTTCTTTTCGTTTTCGTCTTGTTCGCCACTCGTTTCGCGCGCGACCAACGAACGTCCGCAGTTACACATCCACGACAGTGGCATACGAACGTCCTACGTAAAAGCACAAGTTATTGCATCATGTTCTCGAAATTACTAATTAAAGTCATTGCACAGAATTAATTTCATGAACCGAACGATATAGCGCGATCTATATATAGTTTGATCGTCGAAACATTCCGTCCGTCGGCGCAGACGCGCGCGCTCGCCCCGCCAGCGACGAACGACAGCCGCCGTCCGTCCGTCTCACCTGAGCACGCGAAAACGCGGGAGTCGGATTAGCTTGGACTGCCTCGAATTGCCTCGCGAACGCAGAGCAAAGACAAATAAAAAAATAAATACATCGACGAATCGACTCGTTCGGCCACGCGCGATTAGCCGCCTTGAAACTGTTTCCCTCCCTCTCTCCCTCTCGATTAGTTGTTTCCTGCCACCGCGATAGATAGCGCGCCACGAAACCGATTAAAAATTCACGGACTCGCGGCGGCTAATCGCAATCGACACACGTGCCTCGCCATGGGAAATCACTTCGCTCGTCGTTATGTCATACGTCGTCATCGCTGCGCAAATCACGCCGTCCCTTTATCGCATATCTGCCGCGCTAAGCAGCGCTCGCCGAAGGTCGGCCTTTCGTTGCTCCTGTCCGTCCTTTCCTAGCTTCGTAATTAGCATAATTACGGGCGCTCGGCTGTTTGTCGCCGAGTCATTCGCCAACACTTCTATCAGTGATATCGCGGAGAATCGTAAAAAGAGATAGAGGGAGGGGGAAGGGGGCACTCGTGGGAACGACGCGATCTCACGAGATAGCGATAAGCGACAACGCATTTGACGCACGCGGCGTGACGCCACTTTCTCGCTCTTGAATTTTACAGAAGGAAACGTTCCCCATCGCTCACCAGATCGGCGGCAAGAAGAAGAAGCAGCCGTAATACGGACGAGATGCAGCAGAGCCAGGACAAGGACGTGGTGATAATAGGCAATGGGCCGAGCGGCATTTGTCTGTCGTACCTGCTGGCGGGCAACTGGCCGCACTACACGGGCTCGGCCCATCCCGGGGACGAGATGCTGACGGCGCGGCTGCGTTACAGCGTGGCCACGCAGACCAGCGCCGACGACTCGGCGGTCGCGTGCCCCGTCTGTCGCGGTACCGTCAGCTCCGCCACGGCGGAGGCCAGCGCCCACCCAAGCGCCTGCCTCGCCAAGTTCAGCGCGCGGCCGGATCTGGAGTTCCTCGCGGCCGGCCTCGAGGGCAGAAACGGCGGCAAGCCGCTGTCGCTGCTGATGGACAAGCTGCAGCATCCTTGCCTCGACGCGGGCATGGACGAGGAGTCGCTGCTCCATTGGACACCGCCGGAGGAGCACGCGGAGCACCGGGTCACCGACCACGTGGTGCTCGGCAAAGGACCTCCTGGCGGCGCCTGGCACGTGAGTTCGTTCTTTGCCGATGGCCCGCGGTAATACGCGTCTTACGTAAACCCACCGATGAGCTAATTGGAAATTCCGACATTTCACTTCGCTCGCTCGCTCGCTCGTCCGCCCGCCCGCCCGCCCGCGCGCCCGATACCGTTCTATCGAGTGGAAAATCAATTCCTGCCTTTGTTTGTTTCATCTTTTTTTTTCTTTTTCTTGTTCGACGCGACCTTGATGCCCCAAGAGTTCGACAATCTCGCAATCGAGTGTTCTTTCGAGGTGCTAACCGTGCAATTTCTCCGCCAGAAAAATCGACGATTGCAGACGGCTTTTCCGTTGACGGTCCGCGTGTCTGTATTGCGGATTGATTAATGCAAACAGAGTCGGTCTCGCGAGTTCGAGAGAAAACAAAAGCAATGTGTTCGCAAATGACGTGCCTCTATTTTTGCTACGAATTGATTCACCTTCCAACTCGTTCTTCCGCATCGACCACATAATCACTTCTTTGCTTAATATCCTCTTTCTGTCGCGGAAATTAATAGTTTCTGAATAAAAATTTGTATATTACCGAGATTGACGGTACAGCGGACGGAGAAAAAAAACGAGAAAAGCAACGTACGAGGGTCAATAAATGCATATCACGGCATTATCGAATTCCAAGATGAATAGTAAACTGGTTGTATCGAGGCTCTACTCTACGCAAGTTCGTGACGCTTGGCGAGCATTAATTTCATGGTTCAACGATTTGAGTATAGGAACCTAGAGACCGGCGGGGGGGGGGGGGGGGATTAGAAGTCTTACGCTTGAGATTCGCACAATATAGTGAGCGGCTCGACGTAAATCAATATGCGCTGCAGAATGCCGATCGTGTAAATTTTTCTCAAATTTGAATATCAACAAGCGTATATTTTAGCCGCTAATTAACGCGTTTTATCGTGCCCTCGCTTCCACAAGGCAGTCTGGCGCTCGGTTTACGGACGCATTTTTTTTTTCGCAACTTGAACGTTGAAACAATAAACTCACGGATTCATTCGCGTTGATCCGGCAATAACGCTTTATCGACAGGTAGACGCGGCGACGGACGAAGATCACAGTGGATGCGCGCAATTGAAAATGCCCCGGAGGTGATGGCCTGTCACGACCGTGTCAGTGGCAGAAAAATGTCGGTGCGCTTTTCTATCGACGCGTTCGTTCGATTTATCGTTTCGCTGTGGAGTCGATGGGGACGAACGATCGCAAGTCTCGTTGCTTTGTAGAAACTGTGCTTCTGGACGCCGCATTCCAAACAGTCGCCGCGACGTCTTTCCTTATCCAGACTCTGTAATTTTTCAAACGACACGCAAAATCGGTTAAACATCCTCTACGTGCATTTAATTTTATTTCATTTTTATGCGTTTTCCCTTTTTCGTCGAGCCACCGCGCTGACATTGAAACGTTACGTGCACGAATCCATTAGCGCGGTGTGCTCCTTTGTTATTTCCAAGAGCACGAAGATGAGGGAGAGAGAAAAAAAAGGCTGCACTTATCCGAACGGCGCGCAATTACGTTTTAACCGATGGTGCGATTAGCCGCGCCGATCGTAAAAGCGAAAAGCAACGGGCGTCGTTGTACATGACGCGGACCCCCATCGGCCAATGGAAAATTTCCAATCGGAGAGAGAGCGAGTGCGCGCTGTAGCAGAAAATTCCGCGTGTATAAGCGAGTTCAATTAAAAGTCTTATCACTGCGGCTAATCAGTGCGACCGCGCATGTTTTCGAGCAGGCGCTAGATCCGAACGTGTTGACGATAAGCCTGAACCGGTGGATGTCTCTGCCAGGCCTTGACCTGCGAAACTGGGCAGAGGGCCTTGAGGCCGACGAGCGCGAGCGCAAGCTCGTCGGCTGCGACAGAGAGGTGCCGATCGGCGCCGGCTACAACGCCGCCAGAGTACCCATCGGCACCGTAGCCGCCTACTACGAGGACTATGTGCGCAAGATGGGACTCGGCAAGTACTTCCGCTGGTGAGTTCGCGGCCCGATAAAAACGCGCCGACTCTGTTAGCGGGACACCAGATCGCCAACTAGGCGCGCGTCGTTGCGAGGGTCGCAATCGCGCTTTAAACGACGAATGTCACGTCGGTCGACAGCGGCACAGTGGTGACGTCGGTGAAGCCCGGTGCGGAGGGCTCCGGCAGCGCCGACTACGGCTGGAAAGTGCAAGGCTACGAGACCGAGACGGGCAAGCAGTTCGAGTACCGCTGCAGGAGGGTGGTCCTGGCGACCGGCACCACGGACTCGTCCAACCGACTGGGCGTCTCCGGCGAGCAGACCTACAACTGGGTCACGCACGACTTCAAGGACTTGGAGAGGAAACTCGACAAACTCGGCTGTCCGCTTCGTGAGTGCGGCGTCCGCGCCGGTGTATCCTCCGCCACGGTCCCCAGCGCCTAACGGCCGTGCGTTCTTCCAGGCAAGATCAGCGACAACTACGACTCGGAGCAGATCGTCAAGTCGTCGTCGCTGGAGCCCGTGCTGATCGTGGGCTCGGGCCTGAGCGCCGCCGACGCGATAATGGCAGCGAGGGGCCGCGGCGTGGCGGTGCTGCACGTGTTCCGCAACAGCTCTCAGGACAGGAGCGCCGAGACGACAAGGAGGAGCCTCGACAGGCTGCAGTGGCTACCCGCCTCCGTCTATCCCGAGTACCACGCAGTCTACGAGATGATGGCCGACCGGGGCAGGCATTACCCGCTATACAAGTCGCTGCCGGACCACGTCGTCGTCGACTTCAGCGCCGGCGCGGACAAGCTCACGCGGACGAAGACGAGGAAGGTGACATTGTGCACCCCCCAGGGGAGACTCGTCTCCTACAGAGTGTCCTTCGCCGCCGTGCTCATTGGTGAGAACTCCTCTTTGCCCGCGAGGCACTGGCGGGCGCGCCAAGCGCTTTCGCTCGGCCAAGGTCGACTTGGTCGAGTTTCGCCGAGCTTTGCTTCTCGCTACCAAGCGACGATCGTATCGTGCAGCTCGGGTGGAGACGACGATCGAGGCTCTTGACGAGCTGCCAAGTGTCGCGATCTCGGCGACACCGACCGTCGACCTTCCCGTCAATTTCTCTTCGCGCGGCTGCAGCTATTCGCTCTCCGATCGACCGTCACCTCGTTTTCTTCCGATCGCAGGTTCCAAGCCAGACCTGTCGTTCCTGCAGAGGTGCGGCTCGGGCCTGGGCAAGCTGCACGACAAGCCCATCGACAGCCGCTCGAATCAAATCGAGGTCGATCCGTTCAGCTACGAGGTTGAGAAGGCACCGCGCAAAGGCCTCTACGCTATTGGCCCTCTTGCCGGTGACAACTTCGTTCGCTTCATCCTGGGCGGCGCGTTCGGCGTTCTCGCCAGCATCGTCAACTCCGAGAAAGAACACAACACCTACACGCACTCACACGCGCACACGCTGTCCTAACTCTATTGTACATATATAATACGCGCGCGATCGTATTTTTGTATTATCATTTTTCTAAATGTCGACTGGTCGAGGAGAGAATGAGAGATTGTCACTTCCAGCCTTCAAAAGTGTTGCACAAAACGAGCAATTTTTATGTTGTTCTTTTCGCATTTTTGAGCTTTATTACTACTTCCTGCGCTTAACCGTCCGAGCAATCGAGCATCTTGTAATTCTCATCTTGACGATCAATACGTATTTTCGAAAACGCCCTCGATTGTGTGTGTGATTATTTATTTTACGAGATTGTGTTCAGTTTTTCCGATTTTATACATTCTTTGCAAAATTATTATTTTGCATTTTTATGCTATTCTACGTATTATCAGGTGATGTATTTATGTGCTATTCTTTCTATCTTTGTTAAAACCTCGAAATTTCATTGCATCATAATGATGATCTGCAAATTCAAAGAACAACTCGAGAAAAAATCTCTCTCGACGTCAATTCTCATTAATTATTCACTAAGCGTGAAAACCATTTTAACGATATAACGACAAAGAAGATGTGAAAAAAGAACTAGTTAATTACGTAATTATAAACAGTCTGTGATATGAGGTGCGTTTTCTGTAACACATTTATGCAACGAAACAAGTATATTATTATATATTAAACATCTTTTAGCAAGTATCTTTCAAACAGCATTGTTAAAGCAGAAATATTGAAAATTTAAGCATTTACTAATCTTGTTATACGATGACCTATTATGTAACAATATATTTATTAATAACAAACCTTATTCCCTTTTCGAATTTGCTTTCTCTTTTCTACAAACCTCACTTTAATAAATCTAACAAATTATACTATATGCAACGTAAACATATTTTATTGAAAGATATTTTTAATTACAATCAATTTTATATAATGTTTTACATTTGTACACGAAATATTGTACATTTAATACTTTTACGCTTTAAAATCCATTTATCAGAATATAATTATGAATTTCAAGTGGAATTATCAGTGAAATAGGCAAAGAACAACAACAATCATTACAAACTTCCGGAATAAAAATAAAAATAAGAATGTAAAATTTAAAATAATTAAAGAAAGACATAAAGCATTTAAGTAAAAGATCAGTCTACAGTATGTCATATCTATATATGTTCATTTCTTAAAAATAAAATATTATCACGAGTTTGCGTAAAAGCTATTATGAAATTAGCTACGCAATTATACAACCAACATTGACATAAAAACTCTAGCAAGAAAAATTAAATCGTTTGAACTAGCGATTCCAAGCGAAATATACATTTAACATGAATAATATGTCTATCGTGTTTTAATTTTAAATAGTTCACAATGAACATTTATAAGTCAGCCTCAAAATTAAATCTCTGTTTAAGTTTTTCAAACTTTTACCGAGTTTTCTGTAAATTGATTGTATAATACTGTTAGTTAATCCTATAACGCATTGCAAAATTTGTTTATCTCATTTTTTATAAAGAATGACTAATAAAATCGTACACATAATTTACAGAATTTTTAAAAACAGTAATAAAAAGTTATGACTAACTAAATAAAGCATACAAGAAAATAAAGGAAATTATAGACCCCACTAGTATTAAAATGCAATATAATTTACGACTTTTTCTTTTATATGTTTCTGCTTGTTTTAGTTGTTGACACCCTTCGTGTACTTGAACTTGTGATTGTTCTATATTATAATCAATCCTATCCAAAATAGTTCCTTGATCTGACACCATTACTGAAAGCTCCTGAAAATTAAATTCTTGTATTGAGAAAAATATATTCCTTTTTTATGCATCAACTTTTTTATCAACTCACTTTAAATACATCATGAAGCTCCGTTATATTTTTAACAATATGTTCTACTTCCTTCTCTCTCTCAACTGCTATTCGTACATCTTGTCCAACATCTTCCAATTGAAGAAGAACAGAGTCTTGTCTTTGATGACTTTGCCATAAACTAGAAGACTCATTACTTATAGATTCATTTAACCAGTAATCTGATGATGATGATTTATTATTTGTTAAGTTAAATAGTTCATCATCAAAAAACAGCCTGTTCCTCTCTTCTCTTGAATTAATTTCTACAGTTTACAGAAAGTTAAAATAATTACAATGTTACTACAAATGATGCTAGTGATAATAGAAAAAGTAAAATATTTACTTTGTAAGTAGTCTTGTTGTGCTGTACGATAACGCAGTCCTAAGTTTTGCAAGGCCGCAGAAAGAGCCATAACTACATTGCTTGCAAGCTTCCTTTCTGCATGTTTAACTTCATGTTTGGCAGCAGATTTAATTATTTGTACTTGTCTAAATCCACTTGAAAATGCTTTACCAATCTCACGGGTTAATTGTTCCATTTGGCGTTCTTCCTAAAATAATAATAAACAGATAAATATATGCAGTACATCACATTTTTATAGCTACTATTCTTTAATAACTTTATGGAATGCCAAAAGTTTTATTTACTTGAGAATTTTCATCTAGAGTAGGCCTAGTTAGTTGTTTAGACTGTATTTCTACTAAACTATCTACTTTAGTCTTTAAACGGCTTAGAATATATTGAGTTTCTTCCAAGGCATCAACCCAAGGCGGAGGTGCTGTACTTCCAACATTAATACCCCTCAGTTCTACTCCATCACCCATATTTTCCGAACCAACAAGGGCCATCCTATCTGACATAATCTGCCAAAATACATAATTTAATATGATGAGTAACATGGAAGTATAACTTTGAACAAATAGACAGCTATTTTCATATGAATACAAAAGCAATATTGATTCACTGTACCTGTTCTGCATATATATTTTTTGTTTGTAAGGCATTATTTCGCATAATAGTAAATGCTTCTGTCAGGTTTCGCGTTGCCATTTTCTAAATTTGTAGCTTGTACTTATTAATCTCTACGATATAAATTAAATTTAATTAAAATCCAAGTGTTCCAAGTGGTCGTAACGTTTTTCCTTAATATAAATAACATAGCCTTGTCCGCATCTTGTCTGGCAATCTGGCAAATAATAAAAAAGGATATACTTCGACAAAAACGGGATGAACGGTGACAGCTGATTCTAGTCACAATCGCAATCAGAGTCCCTAGATGGACAAAGCTTAAATATTTGAATTAATTACTAGATGTACTCTATAAAATTATATTTATTTTGTTGAGAACGTGACAAACAAGTTATTGTTTAAATATAGAAAATAATATTTAACAAAAATTTTTATAACTTATAATATTTGCTGATAAAATAACAATACATGTCCGAAATTCTCATCCTTCAAATTAGTCCATCTTAATGAAGTCTGCAATACTAACCTTTTCCAATTTAATGAAATGTAAAATGTAAAATGTCTTTAATCGTTACACTACTAAATAAATTGAAATTGAAAACATTGCAAAAGTAAAACACATGACGTGTCTCTTATCGCCTTATTTTACATTCTTGTTGTTTTACTTTCAGTTTCTAGTTTTACCACGAATCGCAATGCCGTCGCTCAGTGTTTAAGAAGCAGTAGGCGCTCTCACATCCACAAAGCAAACCGTAGTCAGTGGTGTAATATTATCTTCAGATCGCCAAATCAGATGACAAACAGCTGATTACTGCGCACGCCAGGGGTTAGGATCGCTTGTTTTCTTTTTGTTTAAAAATTTAAAAACTCGCGAAATACATAACAAAGGACTAAGTGACAAGCGACGAACTTGTGACTATCGAAAAGTGTAAACAAACCTGGACCAGAGTTGTGAGTGTTTATCTTATCTAAGAGTGCAAAACATTTCAGTTTCTGCTAATTAGCTGTAATCTTGGTGTCTCCTTTTTTTGCTGTACCTTATTTCTCTCGTTTCCTCAAACAGTGAATAAATAAAGTTTTCATATCGTTAGGCACTCCGTCATCGTCAAATTGGGTCAGCTATGCTCTGGCAAGTACATTGACTCAGAGTATATAGAGAGTGTTAACTATCGGCGGTAGATTGTGTTTTAATTGTGAGTCATAATGTGTCTCTGAAACAAAGCTGTCTGTACCAGTCAATATTAGTACGGACACAGATGAGATTCTACAAGCATGGCAAATACAGAGAGTGTGGGTGGAATTCCTATTGAGTGTTTGACTGGTCAACTGGCTGGTATTTGGTCAGGATGGACTGGTCTTGGAGACAGAGAGATCGTACGGGAGGCCTCTGCCAAAGGCACACACATAGAACTGGCTTGCAAGTTTTTAAAAACTCGTAGAAACTGTTCTCTGCAAGAGGCCAAAGCTTATTTTTCTAACGAGGTTGAGATATGGGTAAATGCTCTGCTCAGAAAGAAACAAATTCACAGGGCATCTCATATCTTAAACAATATAGTAAGTTTTTAAATCATGCATATTTATAACTCTATTAATATTATTAGATCTTAATTAAAATTTATTTTAGGGGAAAATTCCCATGGACTATATCCATGCCATTTGCTTGAAATGTAAAGAGCCAGAATTAAGAAGCTATTTAGCAAAACATGTAGAATCATGCTTTAATGTGGAGGAAAAAGAGGCATGGGACATTGTCAATTTATTTGTTACCTATGAAGAAAAATTCAAGTATATGAATGTTGTTTTTATTTTACATTGAAGCTGATGTTATTCATATTTAATATATCTTATTGTTGTAGCCTTCAGAGTAATTTAATTTCACACAAGTGCCTTGAAGAGATAATAAACTTACCACAAAGTATTAAAGATGCGCTCTACACTGAGCTTTATTTTTATCACTATGAACCAAACATTGTTGCTTATCTGAAAAGTGAAGTAGTTTGGGACTACTTATTAGCAAATAACCAAATTGAGTTGATAAAATTTTGGATTGATAAAAATTTCAATAACTCAGATAATCTAACAATCAATATTAGTGAGCACAGAAGTGATATTCAATTATTGTTAGCAAATTTGAAGATTACAGATAGCATGATTTCATCTATAGACATGTCAAATGGAATGTTGCTTGTCAAAAATCTGATTCTTAATTATTTGAGCAGGTATAATTATAATACTTTTAAATGAAATGCTTTATGCTGAATAAAATGAAAGAAGCTAATAAAACTTGATTACTTTCTTATAGATATGGCATATTCACAACTAAAGAGTCATCAGACATGAAATTAATCTTAGCTAGACTTTTTGGGGATTGCATAACTGCATCTAACTTTCAACAAATTTTGTCTAAAGAGTTTTGCAATATTGATAAAAACAGTTTCTTTGCAAAGCTTGATACTTTGGGTTTTTCAAGAAATTATCAAGAGAGTAGTAATATTCATCAACTAGATGAGAGAACTAAAAAGCTCTTTGATTCTATAAAAGATCTATGCAATGCCAAAAGTAATTACAAAGAGAGTCTAGAACGTGGAATCGTGGAAACTATACATTATTTATCAAGTGATATCAATCAGTTTTTGAAGCATAGTTTTATCATTAGTTTTACATTAATATTTCTTCATTACTCAACTTGCAAGCAATCTTCCAATCAAGTAACACTGAGAGAAATGTTTATTGTTGATTCTGAATTAAAAACAAATACGCTAAGCTTGACAAAGGATATTCTCGAGACTGTGATATTTCATTTACCATTATTGAAAAACGAAATTGATTCTAAAATGCCAAAAAACCATATCTCGATGTATGAACTGTTGGATGGTTATCAAAAGTTCAATTCCACAAGCTTTTTCAAGTGGAGAATAAAAAATGAAATAATCCCGAGTTTTTTAAACGACGATCTGGTGAAAAAGTACGGTCATAAAGAAAAATTAAGTTATATTAATTATTTGAAAGAAGCACGACCAAACATGGCAGCGAATATTCTTAGATTCGAGCAAGAAAAAATAGCTGATGGTATTTCATCAAAAGCGTAAGTTCCAACGCCATACTTCTCTTAATTAGTTTAAAAGTGATTGAAGTTAATAATAAACGTTATCACAGGAAATCTCAAGCTTCACTTTGTGCGCACGTTTTCGCATTACGCCATTCGAAGAATTCAGAGATCGTTAGTGGTTGCATTTCATTTTTGGAAATTGTTGGCGTAAGTTCTGAAGGTCTAAGACTTCATATAACTGCAGCTCGAATCATTCGTCAAGAACTAAATGTTTCGATAGGTAACAACCATACATTTTCGCCACTTGTATAGTAACTTAATGGCTGCAATGGAAATGCTTTATTTTTGTTTTAGAAAGTTCGTTGGAGTCGATCATTTTTAACAACCAACAAGAGCTGAAAATGGTATTAAATTATCTTGAAAGAAGCTTTCATCGGCGCTTAACTGCCAAAATGATCGACGATAACGAAGAGTTCATTCAAGCTATTTGTGCCTGGGATATTATTGTGAAATTCGCGCGAACGCATAATACAATGCTACCTATTTCATTGCTCAAATTTTTGGCAACTAACGATGCTTGGTTTGAGTTTGCTTTAGTGGGCCATATTTTTTCTTATCCGGTCAATCAGGTATTTTATTCTATTTTTCATAAAAAATTTCATCATAACGAAATAAAATTTATTACTTTTATTGTCGGTAGATTACAGAATGTGTGCAACACTTTAGCAGTCCCAGTTTAAAAGAGCATTTACTCTTATCACTGAATAATCCTCATATTTTAAGACATAGTTCTTTTATTGAAAATAAAAAGCCGAATAGTGAAAGAAACAAAGAAAAATATCGACGAACATCAAGCCGCGATTTAGAACTCAAATTAGATGTAAACCAGCCAATTCAAGTAGAAATCTCAAATAAAGTAGAACCGGTTCCCAAGCACACCGATACTACCGAGAGTATGAGTGCCATATTCGACACTTCCATGTTCGTCGATGATTTATGGTTGATTATTTTGAAATGCCATCAGAGCCAAGATCCTCCCGGTAGTTTACTCAAAGCATCTCGAATTTTTAAATCTCCAATTCTCACTGTTTTAGCTACTTGCTATGAGGTAATTGACACATTCATTATTCATATTACGGAATCGATAAAGGTGTTTAACTTTGTATTGATTTGCATTTCCAGCCGTCCTCGACATCTTCTTACTGCTACTCGTGGCTAGTAATTACAGTGGAAAATGCGCGTTTTGTAAAAGACTACGAAAAATACTTAGAAAGTCAAATTTGGACTGCGAGCACTGTTTTAAATTTGTTTCATCATATGGTTTCGAACGGATTCGTTAATACTCTTTATCAGGGAATGCAAATATTTATACCCGTAACAAAATCTTTTTACTAGAAATGGATATAAAGCATAACATGAAATAAAGTCATAAATATAATATTATCGTTTTATTTTTTACAGGAAAATCCTCTTAAGTTGTTTGTTGAGTTTCTTGTGCAATACATAGACTGTGGCAATTTCAACGATTGTCAACAACATTTAACTGATTTCATAACTGTTTGTTCAAACTATAAATGCAATGTAAGTGATGTTAGTCTAGTTAGTAAACTAACAGAATTTGTATTCAATAAATATTATATTTTATAGAAACTAATCAATTGGGAATGCAGTGATGCGACATATTTGGAGAACGTTTATTGGATACAGACAGTAGTTGTAAAATGCATTATAGTAGTTCTTGGAAATGCATTAAACAGTACCAGCGCGCGAATTAAGTTACTCGAAGTTTTAATCAAATCTGATTTTCACAAAAAATTAATAGGTACATTTATATTCAAATAGGTTTGACGAATAATTTACTATAATATTTATTCATTGCTGGTTAAAAATTTTTTTTTAGTCGATACTCCTAATTTTGAAGCTTTACTCGAATATATAAAAATACTCTCTAAAACGCCGGTGAATTTGAATTATTTCTGTTTTGACACAACTGTAAAAATACATGAATCTGAGGCAGAAATCGAAAAGTGTGTCAATGAACTGATCAATTTGGAGGATTATACTAATGCTCTTTGTCTTTCAAAAGTTGCCAATCTCAAAGCTTCGAAAGTTATTCTTGCTCAAGTTAGTATAGAATATGATATAAACTTAGTTGAGTGTAGCTAAATTCTAATTTGTATTATGAAATCCCATTGTTTTTACATTCTGTAGTACCGAAGCGAATTTAAACGAAATGCCGATAAAGACGGTATGGTCGACTGTCGTTTTTGGAGTCGCTGCGCTTCCGATTTCAAGAAAAACGAAGTTTGTTACGAAAAAGCTGCTGAATTTTTTGTAGAGCATGCGGAAAAAGTCAAGTCATTTAAAGACCGGTAAACAGAGTGTTCTTTTACAAAATCTCTTGGAAACAACGTTGCTCATAAACTTTTTCATTTTAGGTACGAAATTTTAAAGCTGGCTTTAGAGATTCTTGAACAACACTCGAGAGAACGTCAATTATGTGATAAAGTTGAAATGGCAATGTGGAAATCATGCATCTTAGCCGGTCCTAAGAACATTGAAATTAAGTCTCAAGACAGTGTTTATAAAAAATTAAAGACTGAACTTTTGTCCAGCATTAGTGGATTGCAAGTTATTTGCTCTCTTGAAGAGCCTGATGAGAAGGTAGCCGTAGAAGTTTTGATTGGCCGTTTATTAGATGCTGGCAGGTTAGATACTGCACTTAGGATATGTGCGATTTTTAATTATAGAAATAAAGTAAGTACATTTTTTTCAAACAAAAAAGCATGGAATGAAGTGATTGACTACTACGTTCGATTTCAGGAACTTCAAATCTTGATGCTGTGCTTAAGTCTAGCTGAGGGTGAGATTTCACCATATCAGCTAAGCACTCAACAGAGAATTTTAGTTTCCGAATTGAAACCGAGGCAGAGAAACAACACTTTGCGTAGTAAAGGAGTGCAGCATTTACCATCGTCGTCATCACGTAAGTAATCAAGTTCTCAAATACTTTGACATAAATTTAAATTTATCTACTCACCGAATACCATTTTCAGTCAATTTGTCTCCTCTAAGCATAAATTCGAGTAATACTTCTGAAGCGGAAAACGCGACGATGATCCTCGAGCAACAAGAACAATGGGACCGCTTGTCACTTCTAACAACTCTAATCGAGAATCTCGAACACGGTATCGATATTGGTGTCAGAGTGCTGTTGTGCTACAGACTTGCGGTCCAGTTAGGCAAGACTTATCAAGCTCTTCTAACTCTCAGTAAGCCCGTACAGCTGTTGCAAGAGGTAATTAGTAGTCCAAATGATAGGAAATTGGAAATTGCTCGAGATATCATTACCGCGTATCAGATTACAAATCAGAGGATAGCCCACTTTTTGGCAGAAGAAATTGTTGCTCACATTACGCAAGTGATTGAAGGTAACTATAAAAAGTTTTAATGATGATTGTACTTTTCTATTTTTTTGTATCGTCACTTTTTAAATTATCTTTCAGATGGTCTGAATGAACCAACAGCTGCTGGCAATTATAATATGCATTTACAGTCTGTGATAGAACTTTGCAAAGATACGTCTCTTTTAGGATTAAAACTATTAGATATGGCTCACAAATTACTTGGACATTCCTATGGAGAGAAACGAAATCGTAAGTATCACGCTATGAGTCTTAAGAGTGGCTCTCTCAGCTCAATCTTCATAAAGATATACCTAACCAAATATTTATCATTTCAGTCGTTACATTGAAAATCATTGTCGAGCTTTTAATTAGATCGCACGACTGCTTCACGGCTTCCTGTAACATGGAAGGAATAGCTTCCGTTCTTCGAAAATGCCAGCAATTAGCGAATTCTCTGCAAAATTTAAAACACTGGAGTTTGTTGGTCCGTTTAGTTACTGGAGTTGGTCGTTTTACAGAAATGAATTATATTTTTCAAATATTGAAAGAGCACGATCAATTTGAGTTTTTACTTGGTAAAGGATTGGATAAGGTAAATGGTTTTTATTTAAATTGTTTATATTTAATATTACATGATCATTTTTGCCATAGGTTCCTGGATTAAGAATGGCTCTTTTAGACTTTCTCAAACGACATTGTTCAGAGAACAAGGACTTGTTCAACATCGTAGCTTTGCATTTTCAATTGTACTATGAAATTGCTCTCGTGTGGGAGAACGAGGCTAAAGAAGTTATAAACGAGCTTATAATCGAGGCAAAAAAAGAATGCATCAAAAATCTATCCAACCCTCAAGCCGAAATAAAGCTTACGAGGAACGAATCGACGGAGAAAAGGTTACAATTAGTAATCGCGAATCTCACTCATGCAACACAATATTTCTTGCAGGTATAATTTATTTGTCCTGTAATTCTAGTAAATATAATATATAAAGAAAAATTAATTATAATAATTGTTTGAAACGCGTACAGGATAATAAACTGAATTTAGCAAATCGTTGTTCTCATCAAGCGCAACTCGTTGCCCTCCAAATCTCCTTGCTTACCTCTGCTTCTCAGAACCAGCAATTTCCGAGTATTTTGAACCTGAACAGCGACGAAATCAATAAAGCCATCTGTCGCCATCTAAGCTTTTCACAAGCTCTGATTTTAGCTCGAGCTTACGATCATCATGTCGATTGGGCAAGTGCGATCTACTCGCACTGCTTACTCAAAGGCGAAGCAAAATATTTGAAAGATTTTATAACATCTAAACGTCTTACAGCTTCGGTGGCAATCGACTGTGCGAAAAGATACAAGCTTGAGAAGAATATCAACAGAAATATGACCGAGAATATGCAATTCCTCGTTGCCAAACTCAACGATAACGAATGTAAATACGTGTTGGCAAGTCAATTGGGTTTCCGAAACATTATCGAAGAGATGTTAAACGATCCGGCTATAGGAGCATATTTAAAGGATACCGTTTTCCGAAAGAGATACGTCACGTCTGAATTTGTGGGCGAGAGTTTTCTTGCCAAAGGATGAAATTCGTAATTTTGCTTAGAGATGATGAGTAGTTTTTTTATTGTATATTTTATTTTTTGTACGAAATTTTAATAACGTGATATAGTTTATGTAGATTTGATAATTCATTTATATTTTTATTATTATTATTATTATTATTTATACGATGAATTAGATTAATACATTAGTCTCGATTTATTGGTAAATCAATTATTTCGTTACTCAATACCACGGTTTGTAAACGCACACTAATTTGCATAATTATATGTGATAATTTTTCTAAAGTTTGCTTATTATAAAAATTAAAACATACAATAACGTAATTAATTTAATAAATATACAATTGTTATCTCTATAAGATTAAAAAATTGTTTGAAAGAAACCATTAAATATGAAAAATTTTGATTGTAACTTTGGTTTCGATTCGAACATATAAATAACGAAATACTCAGATGAATGAAGATGACCGTGTAATTGATATATAATTCCGTGATTTGTGAAAATTGATGAATATTTAGAATGCACTTTTTATACTGCGAAGAAAGGTGAGAAACAACAGTATTTTTCTTATGAATGTTTATCGTACTACTTAATGATAAAACTGTTGTGTAAATATGAAATGAGAAATATATCCTATTTTTTGAATAATCTATCGTTTTGTATTTGTCATCGAACCAAACTTTGTCTGCTTAAAAAACAATCATTTCCACGCATTATGTGCTCTTCCGGGATTCTACATGCCAGTCATTAATTCAGTTTTCGTGCAAGTCATTCAATTGGCTTCAAGATGCATTGATTTGTAAACCAATGGTTGTCGATATAATCTTGAAGCTTATTAATAAAGTTTTCAATTAATGAAGTACGTCAGGTAATATTGACAGATCGCAGAGCATTCCAGCTGGAATTTCAAGAGAAGTCGCGCCAATCTTACTCATCTCTGATGAAAACTATACACGAATCATTACAGGCTGTAGCAGAGTATATACTATATAAAACTGAATAATAATGGATGCGCATAAATGCTATAACGTGCACGAAAATTACATGCGCGATAGACGATTACCTAATGCTCTCGATGGAGCGTTATTCATATAAATTTTTTCTTTTTCACGGAGAACAGTTCGCTGGCGACTTTGCACGGGGCAAGACATTTGCGAATCTTATTTTACCGCGGCTGGCTATCGAGTATAATTACCTTTCGCGATATTCATAGTTTTATTATCGACCGAATAGTTTAATCGTCGAATCGATTCTTTATTCGACAAGTCATCGATCAGGGATAATTAATCGTTGTTGCAAGATAAAGCTGAAACGAAGTCCGCGTGACTGATGCTTTTAATGGAATAAGGCAAGCATTGCTGCTATCACTTGAAGTACTGCTGCTGAGCCACACTACAGCGTTAAAAGTTAGGTACGTGTGCAGCATTGAACTCCGCCTGCTGCTGACGCACTTTAGCGGTTTTTCGTTTATCTGTAACATTTCCGAAGTTTGCGAAATTGACTAAAAAACCGATGAATCGGTTCATTTGAAGTGGTAGTTCGATGCTGCAAATTCCAAACAAAGATTCGATTTCAAGCTTTTGCTTTACCATAAAGTTTGCGATAATTTTAATATAGCTGCCATTCAATTTACGAAAAGTTATTTGTCTTTTTTAATAACCAGCATAATTGTTGCTCGATTGACTTAGAAAGTAAATGCAGCGTTTTTTCTCGTTTTTTTTTCAACAATTAGATATATTAACGAGACTTTTTTTTAATGAACTGTAAAACTGCGCGATTCTCTTAAATACGATTCAAGTGTTTCACTAAAAAAAAATACGTACTCAATTTGCGCGTTTAGATTTTACAACGGTTTACCGACCGTCGAATCGATAAAAAAGTTATCTGTGCGTGGCCGATGAGTCGACGTGAGGATAGGCCGACAAGCAGCCATTTCTAAAACCTCGTCGGAAGAAAATAGTAGTAAAGCTCTCTAGAGAAACAATTTTCGCGTTTAAAAAGTTTGGCGCGCCAAGCAGTAGATGTGTACCGCCTGTCGCTCGTCAGTCGCGTGTGAGTGTCATCTACTGACCGGCTTTGACTTCTCTTTCATTTTGTTATTTTGTTTCTTACGTAGTGTCATATTGTTGTTAAACTGGTTGTCATCGTTATCACTTATGTTTCACCAATTCGTACTTATTTCTTTTCTTTATCGAGATATTCGTGTTTGCAGCTGTTGAATCTCTTCGTTTAATATTATGCTTGACTCATAGTGACTAAATTGGTTTGTTTGAATTTATTTTTTATAAATAGGGAAAGTGCTTCTATTTTTGTTTACAAGTGCAAGTAGTACAGTCTGTGTATATATGGTTGAGAATTGAGCAAAGAATGCGATCAATGCTTGTCCTACTGTCTCCAGTTTTATTGCCCGTGCGACAATGCGCGACAATTATCTTATCAACTTCTGATGATTAAAAAAGTCGATTGACCCTTTTGTCATGCTTTACTCATAAACTCTCCTCGAACTTGCTCGCTTATATTCGCATTATAAAGGTGCATTTTTGTACCTAATTTTTGTTTACTTCAAATTTCACTTTTACTTTTTTTCTTTAATTATAATTTTTTTTTTTCTAAAATCTTTGAAAGTGAGTAAATAAAATAATTTATTTATTTTGAATTTATAGAAATGCATATTAAATTTTCCAAGATTTATTTATATTAAAATTCATGGAAGTTGAGGAGAATGATTACAGAAAGTCTCCTCAAGAGGCACTGTATAGAATACCACAAGTGATATCTCACTTTGTTGAGCGATTTTTTTACATGTAAGCTTAAAAAGTTTCTTGCTAAATTCTTCATGAATTGCTTAAGTTCAAACCTTGCCACTTTACCACAGACTTGGACTTCAGATTGCTAGACAGCCTATACGATGGATGATAGGTTGCTCAATAGTTATACTTCTGTGTCTTGGTGGTTTGCTAAAGTTCAGACAAGAAAAAAACCCCTTAAAACTATGGGTCCCACCAGATTCCGATTTTGTAAGAGATACAGAGTGGTTGACTTCAACTTTCAAGGAGGGACAAAAAATAGAAAGCATGATTTTTGCTGCAGATGATATTTTTGAACCTGATGCTCTTTATCGACTTAATGAAATTACTTTAAGAATATTTAATGCACAAACTTACAAAGAACCCATAGTGACTTGGACAGATGTTTGTTTCAAGTGAGTATTTTATTTACAAAACATGTAGTGTGATATTCATCAAATTTAATGTGTTTTGTTAGGGTTCCTATAATAGCTGGTCTCATAGAATCTACAAAAAGAAAAAGAGAAATGGACAATGATGATTTTTTTGACGAAGAACCCACAGTGATGATTAATAAAACAGGGTATGACCCAGGGGTCCACTTGCCAACTGATATGTATTGTCGTGTCATAAATAGCCTTCCTCAAGGCTGCTTGTTATACAATATTCTGGACATTTGGGAATTTAATTCTACACTTATTAAATCCCAAACTAAAGAACAAATCATAGAGAAATTTAATTCTGTACATATTAGCCCTACACTGGGGCATCCAATGAATTTTAGTCAATTATTAGGAGGTGTTGTTACTGATGATAAAGGTAGAATTGTAAGTGCAAAAGTTGTTAAAACACAATGGATGGTCCATATTAATTTTACCGAGGCTAATATGGATGAAATGGGTAATGATGCTGGTACTGCAGATTGGGTAAGTTGCGTCGCACGCGTTAACTGATTATCTTGAAACGTTTACACGTATAAAGTATTCATGAAAGAATTGTCGTGTAGTCGACCAAGGAAGTGGTCGACTGGGAAGCGGTATATCTAGAAGAGCTCGAAAAGTCTTCTAGAGATTTGGTAAGGTGGAAAGCCAGAACGAACAAAACCTATTCGTTATATTTCGAAGCAGGACGGAGTTTCGGTGATATTACCCAAGCCAGTATTTTCCACGACGTCGAGAAGCTCGTCGTTGGCATTATAATAATGTCAGTTTATGTACAAGTCATACTTTCAAGATTCAATTGGATCGAATGGCGAGTAAGCTCAATCGCCGTAATCATAAATAGTTTATAAATTACTCACACGTGTCTTAAATTTTCTTTCTTTTTTTTTCAGTTTTGGTTAACAAGCGTAGCTTTATTTTGCATAGGCGGTGCTTTCGCAGTAGCCATAGGTTTGTGTTCTCTGTTTAACGTGCCCTACGGCCCAGTACACACCTCACTGCCATTCATGCTAATGGGTCTGGGCGTGGACGATACCTTTGTTATGATGGCAGCATGGGAAGAGATATCGTCTCATGAAAAAAATCGCAACCGGCCGTTAGTCGAGCGAGTGGCATTGGCATTAAGTCATGCAGGAGCCGCGATATCTGTCACGTCACTCACTGATGTCGTTGCCTTTGTTATTGGTGCCTCTACGGTCAGTAAAAAATATAATTTCTAAGAAAGAAAGAGTGAGTGAAATTTCAATAAACAAACAGCCGTGTGTATAATATTCATCAATATTTCAGATTTTGCCGTCCCTGCACTCGTTTTGTATATACGCAGCGGTGGGTGTGTTTGTAACTTTTGTTCTGCAAGTGACGTTCTTCGTAGCCTTTTTCACGCTAGACTGCAGGCGCGTCGAAGAAAAGCGCAATGGCGTTCTCCCATGTATTAAGCACGAGAATTATGTGCATACCATCACCGATGCAGAGCATAATATTTCCTGGAGGCTGATCGATAAGCTTTACACGAATGTTGTATTAACGCTACCTGGAAAAATGGCTGTAATTATTATTACGACGGCGTTCGCCACCTTCGGAGGCCTTGGTTCCTATCAGTTAGAACAATGGTTCGATCCTATTTGGTTTCTGCCTAGAGAATCGTATCTCAGCGAATTTTTGATTGTCAAGGAAAAGGAATTTCCCAAAATTGGCTTCGAGGCTACTGTGTTTATGAGCAAAATAGACTTTGTACCGGAGTTCCCGAAGATTTTAAATCTCAGCCGAACGTTAGAAAGAGCGTCGTTCACGGAGAGTGTGAAGAATTGGCCTGTAGATTTTATACAATTCGTAGATGCAAATTTTAATATCGGTAAATTTGCCATTATGTCTCTATAAATTTTGAAAATCATTATAAAACATTATTTTTATTGCAGATGCGGAAAACAAAACCCTCAGCGAAACTGATTTTCGCATTTACCTCTCGAAATTCTTGTACAGTCGTATAGGTGGCAAGTACCAGCGAAATTTCCGCTTTGAAAACAATACTCTAACTTGCGGGAAAATCGCACCTCCAATCGTAATGGCAAGCATCGACTTTACATTCAGTAAGTTTTATTCTCCGTACGAGTGGATACCAGGGATGGACGGTGCGAAACAGATGGTCGCCGAAGCGAATTTTAATGGATTCGCCACAGTTTGGAGCGAAGTATTTGCCACGTGGGTGACTGACAAGGTGATCTCACAAGAAGTTCTCAGGAATCTCATACTCGCGCTTATATGCGTTATGGGTATGACTGCATTTTTGATTGCCGAGCCGCAGACGTGCTTGTGGATTTTGCTCTGCGTATTATTGACGCTGTTAGACGTTTGTGGATTCATGTACTACTGGGGCCTCACAATCGACATTGTTTCTTGTATAGGTGAGTGAACTTTCAATTAGTTTTGCTTTAAAGCAGGGGCGACAGTCGACGCGAGCGCGCGATAATCGACCAAGTCATTAGCACGCTCTGACGTCTGAATGTTATGGATGTGAAGGGGGTCATTACGAATGTGTGTCATTGCTCTGGAATAGCGATACTTAATCCCGCAACGCCGCGTTAGGCGTGTTCTAAATTATGCCCAATTAATTTTCATTGTCTCCGCTGTTCGCTGCTGGCATTAGCACGAAACAAAAGGTACATAGGCGAACAGTTGCCATGTTGACTGGAATTAGATTCCACGTGAATTGATGTGCTGATAAATTGAATAGCCGTTTAAATGCAATGACGCGTCTAATCTTCCAAATCGATTCGGTCGTCACACACACACACGCACACACACACTTCCAACCGAAATGATTTTAATTGATTTTACTATGATGCGACAATAGCTTTCTTTCCTTTCTCTAACCCTGTATAAATGTCAAATTTCAGGTTTAGAATTAGCCGTGGGTTTGAGCGTAGATTACGCAGCGCACGTAGCTCATGGATTTCTTAATGCAGCGGACGTTCCTGGGACAAATCGTCGGACCGACAGGAGCATCCGCACACTCAAGGCCATGCGACATATCGGGGCAGCCGTGCTGTTCGGCGCCGGTTCGACCTTGCTTGCTCTCTCCTTACTTTCGTTCTCACAGGCTTACGTCTTTCGTGCCTTTTTCAAAATCTTTCTCCTCGTCATTGTGTTCGGCTTGTGGCATGGACTGCTGCTGCTACCTGTCGTACTTAGCACTATTGGACCAAGAAGCCTTAGGACTAACTTTAGGAATAAAAGTGTGAGTTTACAAGTTTTTCATTTTTAATTTTTTCTGTAAAATAGCGAAAGATTCGTTCCACTGCTGAGTTGAGCAAATTGATATATTTTCATTAAATACTTAGTAAGGGAAAATTAATTGACCTTTTTATCACATTTATCGTGTTACTCTTTATCAATACAAATGTTTACTAAGCAATTAATATATGCTTGTAAAAGAGAAATTGAAAGTAAATATATAGTTGAAAGAAACTACAAAACCAAGCAAATAAAATATTAATTTTGAATCAATTTGTAAAATCTACAATTTCTCGGCTTATCGAACGATCGAAATGGAAATCAATTGTGATAAGCCTCTTGGAAAGCAATAAATTTTTTTTATGTTGAAATGTGTAAAAATGTAACAAAAAAGAAATCTTTTTTGCAGGTGCAATCCAGGACTTCAGATGGAACACAAGAAACGGATACGGTGGCGATGCCGCTGAACAAAGAATAAACACTTATATTTTCATCAATATTTATTTTTGGTTCAATGAACATACAAAAATTGTTACACCATTCATATTATTGATCACACATTTATACAAAAATAATAAAATCGTCATGGAATCCATTCAAGTTATTTATTTTTTCAACTGAAGATTATAATGTCGACGAGTCGTGATCGTGAAATCAAGAAAATCAGAGGAAGATAAATCATCATCATAACTCATCGTCGATTTGTATATGCATGTACATTTACAGTATATATATTTATATCCATATTTATATGTTAAGATTACAAAACAAGTACAAAATAATTGCTTCGTCCAGGAAATCTTTTCTTTTTTCTCATGCGGTATACATACACGATAATTTATTTTGTTATTTTTTTTCTCTTTTATTTATGTATATGTCTCCACTTAATAGCATATCATAATCTCATGTGAGTGGCTAAAGGAACGTGACTATCGATAAAACTCAAGAAGCTTCTATCTAAGTCTGAAAAAAGCACTAACCATTCCGTACGGTGGATATTTTTGCTCTTTCAATTGTTCTTCTTTTTCTTTCGTATCTGCAAATTCACTCTGCGTACTCTCATTCAGTCTCTGTTAGTTTTCGTCCGCCCTCTATCTTTTTCTCTCTCGTGTGCTTCTTGTTAGAATGATTGACATGTGGAAAATGAATGGTATAAAAAGAGGGTCGCGGCTGGAGAGAAATTTTTTTTCTAGTTTTCTCTTTGCCCCGGCAATTCACAATCCAACGATTTTTGCAGGTTTCGCTCTAGTTATTCACATAGCCTTCGTTAAAATTTCCTTTTACTTCTGTTTACGTGCTTTTGACTTATTTTTTCTCGAAGAACGAGAACTCAGGCTGAAAGGATTTCCGCTTTACACATGAACATCATTTTAATTTCGTTTAAAGATAAGAAGTGTAATTACGTTTGGTTTTTTTCACAATTTTTCATCATGAGATTTTTTTGTAACCAAAGAGGTAAACATTTATTTTTCGTGAATATATAAAAGTCGTGTGTACATCGATTTAAAAAACTCGTTAAAACGCTTCCCCGTTGGAAATAATTTTTGCGTAAAACTATGGCACGCAGTTATTTGCAGTTTCAAATAGTTTATAAACGTCAAATTTTAGACACATATAACAGTTATTAACAGTTTTTTTTTCGTCAGTAATAATTATATGCAATTATTAACAGTTATAGATAATTTCGGAAATGCACCTCTTTATCATAAAAAAATTTGCTATTAATAGCAATTATGAAATTTTTAAATCAGTTTCAAAAATATATACAATTGTATACAATTGTATTAAATAGTTATCATGTGTGATAATTAAGAATTATTTTAAATACTTATATATTGTTATTATCGTGTAATTTTTTCTACCTACGAGTATTTCTTTTGCGCCTGGTATTGGTATAAATTAATAATTAAAATTGATTGCAAATAATAGTTACTAATTTTTTATTTCAACAGGTAATTGGCAATAACTGTTATTTACAGATATTTATAGTTATTTGCATCCATTGTTTCTCCAAATAAATTTATTTTGGTGAATAAAAATACAAATAACCATTAGTTACTAAACAAAACTATTATTATTCAATAATGCCAGTTTTTTTAACAGAAAATAACTGTTTATATGTATAAAAAAATCTTATGTTGATAAACGGTTATAAATTGTAAATAACTAAATAACTGTTAGCAAATGTTATTAACTATTTCTATTCATTATAATTTTATGCATAAATTATTTCTGACAGGGTTGAAAGGTAATTGACAAGTAAAAAGTTAGTATTTAAGGTAAAAATGCGTCGATGATATTGGTCTTTTCGTTTAGCTTGCGTAAAAAAATTCAGGCAGCTTTTAGCTTTGAGTTGTCCTATCATATTCTCATACTTTTCTCGTTTAATATATCAAATGTTTATTTAAAATCTACGTACGTCGATCACCCGCGAATCGCTTTTACGTTATTCTCTCGTCAGAGTGAAATTATCGGTATGAAGAGAAATTGTACCTATAGGGTTTTTCGCATTCATGAGGCATATTTTGTCATAAAGAAGAGATACTATATTCGAAATGGTCACATCTACTTATTTTAAAATTGATTACTTTAGGTTTCTCGTTTCGTCGTAATTTATTGCTTTGCAAATTACTTTTATCCTCAAAGGAAAAATCGAGTGACAGTCCATCACAGATTCCTTCCTAAATGCAGTATTATTGTTCGTTGGAATGTTTATATATGTCAGTCGGCTGAAATGAATTGTCTATTTATTTACAACGACATTTAGTAATCAATTTTAAGCACATTCATTTTTAAAATAATATACATGTGGCCACTTGTTGCACTGGAAATATTAGGAGGCATATACAGACACCGATACGTTATTGGAAATTAGTTAGACTAGTCTATTGGTTATTCCTAACGCCTCGTCATCAACACTGACAGCATTGTGTTATTTTTTTATCTCTGAATTATTTTCTGACCTTCCTATCTCGTACTTGCGATTTTCATCTGGCAAAAATCATCGTGTGCCTATCTAATTATAGTAGACGTACATTTATATTCATATTCATATTTATAAGTATTATTCGTATTTATATTCTGGTATTCTTATATACAACACACGATATGCATACATATACAACGAAGCTTTCTATCGCTGAGAGATAAACTTCAGCCTCGAAGAAAAATCCTCGGAGATTTCAATAGTTTTGTGAGTTACGATTAGAAGAATAATATATAAGTCAATATATATTCATTGCTTTTTATCTAAACTAAAAATATTCCACACAGAATTGAAGAACGATGTGTTGTTGAAATTGATTTTTCAATAAATTGCTTGATCTAATTCTTTTGATATTTAGAATCAGGTACTCAAATAATTATTTACACTTTTCAAAATTAGAATTCTCAACTAGTTAATTGATTTTTTGTAACTTCATTTCGTTAATCGAGTAGAGAAAAATATCGAAAAATTATCATCACCAATAATTTAAAGTTAAGCTTTTAGAATAATTTTAATACTAGTTTTTAGTTCCATCAGTTAATTTGTTTATCGTCGCGCTATTCATTCATTTATTAATATTCTTATTTTTGTTATCATAATATTTAACAACTATTTAGGTATTATTTGATATTACACCGATTTATAGTCAAACGTGAGTTCAAAAAGCTTTGACAAATGTATATCGATAGTGAAATGAGATGACGGCGAATGATGATGTTTTATACGGTATTGATAGAATATAATTCTTCGGTGATTTCCCAGCTCATGATAATAGTTATTAAATTTAATTTTTTTATTTGACCTTCTCCCCCTTGCCTCTTTTTCTTGCGTAAAAAATTGTTGCTGCTATCACTCGATTTTATGCCCAAAAATCTACCAGAGGCACTTTGGGTTTATTAGTACCATTAGACAATTTCTTTTTAGAAAACCATAAGACAATCACGAATTCATTACTTTTTTATTTTGTTTAACGAGTAGTCATATTTTTATATTTTTTGGCCTATATTCGATTTACGCAACCCTGTCTGCCCTTTAAAAACAACGCAATAGCCCCAAAATTACTGTTTTTAGTTTCTTTTCTCCTTAATGAATTTATATTGTTATGAGATTTTCTTAGTCATCTTGTGGTGAAAGATTGAAGAAGAATAGAAAATATTACATGTAAATTGATAGAATTAGTAGATACAAATACGGATAAATGATGTTTTAAGTATGACATGGTAAAGGCTGAAGAAAAAAAAAAATGAATGTTAGAATGAAACATTTTTGCTTCTTCTTTATATATGAAACAGGACAAAAAGTGTCTTACAAAAAAGGAGACTTTATATAAAACGTCGAGTTTTACATTCTGGCAATTACTAGCAAATTTTTCTTCCATCGCTCCCACTGATATCAATCACGCTCGCATTTTTCCTGATTTACTGTGGCTACACACGCTCAGAAAAAAAAATCGATTACTCTTGTTTCATTCCTTATCCAGCGCAATAAATACTTTCTCCGCTGCACGATTTACACATTGAATTGACGCACAGGACATTCAAATCTTTATTTTATCAACAGCGTACAAACACGCGTACAAGAGTTACGTTTGCGTGTTTCCAGAAATGCTTTAAAATTTTTAAATTATATCTTAATTATAAAATAATATTTACAATTTGTAATGTCGACAAAACAGTCTTACAATGAATTATTTGGAAACGTAAAAATCGTTTATAAAATTGTAAAAGGGACATTATCAAATAAACCAGAATATAAAAAATCAGCTGATAAATTTAAAAACCTTTAAAGCATGTTCTTTGAACATTTTTAGCCAAAGTAATTAGAAATTTATATTATCGCACAGCCAGGCACACCACACCAAATTTTTATTCTTATGAATATATCCACGAAGTAATGTCGACGTTTAATTTATGATTATCAATTCATATCGATTTAATATCAATGTTATTACAATCAGACAATACTCAACAGTGATCGTTATTTTTTGTTATATATATATTACAATTATTAATAATTAAGAGTGACAACAACATGACGACGGAGGCATTGAAGCTGAATACTTATAAAAGGATTTTTTGAGGATCGAGGGTCGATAGAAACTGGACTCGTTACTTTCGTTCTATAAGAATGGTAAGGAATACAAGGAAGGATAAGAATAGTTTGTAGGAGTTTAAAAATTGCGAGTCAAAGGCCCTTATTACTTCGGTCCGAAACTCTTATGGCGGTGTGAGACACAATGACAGCGAATGACAATAATGACACGATGATACGATTGTGGTGCGTGTGGTTTGTTTTTCTTTTCAAAATGACCTTCATAAGGTAAAAATAGTTAGTTATATGTGTAAGAAATTCGGAAAAACTTGATTTCACTTGCTTTTCAAGTCTTGATGTATGTGCGTTTATATAATTATCATTGGTCATTGAAAGATTAATAATTGAATCTCAAATAGAACATGCAAATAAACGAGACGATAGTTTTTTGACAAGAGCGTTAGAGGAAGCACACAATAGACTCAGCACAATCGTGACATCGAACCGGCCGTATACTTGGCCATACTTCAAATACGTTTTATTTGACGCTTTCTTTGTTTGTTTGCAAGTTAAATCTACTATCTAATACACAGTCTGTTGTTGAAAAAATGCGTTTGGTTCGCGCTTACACATTTATTATTTCAATATTAATTTTTTTTATTATTCGTTCATATTTTTTTTGTCAGCTGTTTTATTTTATCAGCTTTTCCCTACCCGACTCCCACTATTCGTGTTCTCGTTTGTATTTTTTTATTCACGGAATGCTTAGTTGACAGCCTTCTGACCTCAATCTACAAGAGCAATTACACTAACTAGTGATAACATTCTTTGCGTGTTTCACTTTTTTCTATTTATAATGGCACTTCTTTATTTTGATAATCGTGAAATTGTAATAAAAGAAAATTTATCATTACAATTACTTATATTGGAAATGCTATATTCGAAATAGAAAAGAGTACACTGCAAAGTTTTCTTAAACATATCGTTTGATATTTTGTTTTTAGTTACTCGATTTTATTTTTATAATTTAATTAAGTTCTCCAAAACTTTTGAAGCCAGATCTGTCGTTGATAAAAAGAAATCAATTCACGTTATATCGTAAGAATGGGAGACGAATGGGAGAGACTGTTTCTTCTTTTTGTAAACGGTGATGATATTTACTAACCTAAATATATATACATAAACACGCGCGCTCGCTGTAATAAGTGTGTATATATGTACACATATACATAATGACATACCATCCATGTATATAATATAATTATCATAATAATAATAATATAATTATTATATTTTCTTCATCGATTGTGTCGATCAAGACAATAGCGATTATCGATGACTTACGTACATATTCATTTTCTTATCACGACGACCATATTTTTAGATTTATTTGTAATTTTTTTCTTTATTTGTTCAAACGATTTCAGTGGATGGAAACGCGTATTCGTTCAAGACACCTCTTTCTCTCTTTTGTTAATCTTTCTAACTCATAGCTTGGCCGTTTCATTATTTATTTATTTATTTATTTTTTGGGAGGAGGGAGGCAGTGACTTGCACAAATATACAAAATTTCTTCTCCAACCAAGAAACAACAACCGATCAGTCTGCTCAATTGAATTCACGCAAACTTATCCCACAATAATTGAGCCTTTAATGAGTTAGTTTGGTACACGATAAAAAATAAAAAAAAAACGATTAAAAATCAACGTCACGCCTATTGTTTCGTATAAAAAGACTTTACAAAATTTATACAATAAAAATAATAATATAAAAAATTGCTTTCTTTCGCGTGTGTGGGATGTGTTTGTGTATATACTCTTGAAAATTATAAAATAATACAAAAGAAAAATTGAAAACATGAAAACCACTCGAGCAGTTGCTCGTATATTGCTAAACTAGTCGATTCATCCTAAGGAAACCAGACGAGAAGCTAGCTTCACAGTGTATACACTAGAAGGATAAACCGGAATTGTTATCCAGCCGAGAGGGTTGAATGTATACCCTCTATCACACTCACAAGATACACGCGTTTTAAATCTAGGTACAATTATAAGCAGTTCGTCTTGCGTATAAACACACTCTTCGCGCACAAAAACTTCACTCGTCGGCACTGTAAGGTATAAGCGTTCACGAGGAAAAATAGCGAAGAGACGCACACTCTATATGCTAAAATGATAAACCACCAGCTGCATGGTGCTTATCTGTAGCTCGCACTCGGAGTCGTAGGGTCAGGCCGTTTAGCCGGCGGCGGCGAGGCCAAGAGGTACTGGTGTTCAGCGTCGAGTAAGCCCGAGACGTGCCAGTAATCATCGACGTGGGCGTCAAGGCTGCTGCTGTTGCCTGGTGTTGCAGGAACCGGACGACCCAACGTCGAGCTCCTCAAGCCTCAGCAGGCCAGTTCATTGCGCGCCGGTTTATTTGAGTGCTTGCTAGTGTAAACGGGACATCATGGATTCCCGTCCGCGGCCATGATGTTGTGCACCTGTTCGAGCTTGTACGCCAATCGCTGCTTCGTTGAGAACTCGTCTTCTTCCAAAGTAACCGTCAGTTGCTCGTTATACTTGCTCGCATACGTGTATAGCTCGTACAGGGCGCAATTTGTGTTGAATTCGTTTGTATGCAGCTGTAAATGGAACAATCGTAATCGTTCATTTTGTCATTATCTTCAAGCTAAAATCTACTTCGGTATACTCACTCTTGATTCCTCTGCGAGCATGGCGTTCATGTCCTGGTCGGATATGGCTGGCATCATCTTGATATCCGCGTAGTAGCGCTCCACCCACTCTTTATAAATTGGAATGTCCTTGGCATAAAGTAGTTTTGAACTTGGCGAGTCCTTACCTAAAATACAAGCAGTAACGATTCAATATAATTTAGCGTTTCGCAAAACTGTTGTTAAAATAAAAAACTCACCCAATCTGTGATCAGACGTAGAGCAACTGTCCATAAAGGTTTGCGCGACAACGGAGAAGCAAGCGTCGACGATATTTGACTTGTGAATATCGAAAATGAAATTAGGATTCTTGATGAGATTCACCCAAAATCTGAGCGGTAGAAGATTACTCTTCCACGTGTGCACGACCTCAGGATCGCAAATCTGGTGATGTAACGCTTGATCGTCAAGGAAATCGAACATATACTTAATGGCAAGTGGCAAAGCGGAGCCACGATGTGCGGTGCTAAATATTGTCTCAAATAGGTCATCGACGAATTTCTGTAATGTACCCTTAGTGGCGAGAAGCCTCGTAAGATAAATCTCAGAAACCATTTTATTGCCACGTTCACCCTCCTTTTGTGCATCGTTGTCGTGATGTTTAACCAAATGCCAGACTTTCAGGCCACCGTCGTGGTCGTGATTCAACGGTGATGTGGCGCGAGATAAGGGTGGACTTGCCGAGCTGAATTTGCTGAGGTTCAAAGTTTCATATTTGTGAGACTTGTCTGTCTTTTCCGAAAGGATGGAGAGATTGTAGATAGATGATTGCTTGGGGACTAAGTTCAGTGACGCGCCATCGGGCACTCGGTAGTGATTGAGTGTGTTGCGCTTCTTCCACTCGCCTTCCATTTTTGTAGTCGTGTCCTCGTCGTACAGAATAAGCCTACCAGAGGCTCCTGTTCTCCATTCTAAAAATAAAAACCCGGTATTACAAGCTTTTAAGAAAATTGACAAGTACTAAAAATTGACGTTCGAACGATAAAACTCACCAAGATCAAGATCATCTTTTCTTGGTCTCTGACTATATGGTGTAGATCTATATATGGTATCGAGTGCTTTTTCCTTGACTTGAGAAATAGTATCACAGTCTAAAACTTTTACTGGAACATTTTCAGTGTTGGGATCCATGCCCCCGACAAACACCGCTTGCTGCGAAATGGATACGTATACCGTCTGAAAGAATCAAACCATCATCCATTAATCACGGTGGTTAAACGACATTGGATTTGACAAATGAAACAACATTAACATACCATCGCTTTGACTTCAATCGACTGTCTAATAAGCTTCTCCTCGGAGAGCGAGTACCTAGCCTCTGAAGTGATGGCATCGACTGGCCCCTTGTCGACTTGTTGCTTCATGGCACGGAAGAGCAAATACAACGGTTCGCCCGCGCACTCTCGCATGAACTTGTACAACAGGAATGTAAACCACGCAGTCAGCATTTTCTCGGCCACACTTTCCGTTCTAGAAGTCAATAATACACCCTTAAAACCTTTCTGTTCTTTCGACGAGTGCACACTTGAGAACAACTCGAAATAAACTTACCGTCGCAACAGCAGCTTAGGATGGCTCTTACCCTCCATACACTTCTCAATCAGATCGGCAAGCAAGGTTTTCAGAATATCTGTGCAATACTCCATCTTACTCTGCAGCGTAACCATAATCAGACTGGCAACATTGACTCGATCCCTCATGGAGAAATATCTGTTGCTTTCGAGGGTCCTGACAAACAGCAGGAGGAATGTCTTATTCATAATGAGCTGTCCGAACAGTCTCAATCCCTTCTCTTTGCGCACGAGCTCGGGTCTGTCCCACTGCAGCACGACATGATTGTCATCCGACGGGAAGAGTATGTTCATTGCGTAGGTTCTGTAGTCGAGGAACGGAATGCCACCGCTGGTCAAATCGCCCGTGAGATCCGTCATCTCGGTCTGCAATTCGGCAAAAGCCTCCTTGCATTCGGCAGCGACGCGCAACTCCAGTATGTCCATCTGTTCTTGCATGTTTTTGAGCACACGATTGCTCTCGGTAGATTTGCGCCTGTAGGCGATGAGGAAGGCAATGAACACGATGACTAGAATGACAATTGCAGCAATCACGCCGATCAACGCTGGCTTTGAAAGCGGACTGTTTAGACCGGCTGGTAGGGCGTAACTTAGCTTGCCGATTTTGTACTTAAGATTGTTGCCAACGATGACCACGACTTCGGGTAGCTCCGATCTAGGATTGCCAGACGAGTCAAGAGTAGGCGGCTGAGTGGGTGGCGGACGACAGGTGAGTTGGAATCGAGATAGCGAGGTGACGTTGCAGTAGCTATCGCCAATCTTGACCATCACGTCGGACTCTTGACAAGCTCGGTCGAGATGCATGCCATTGATGTTCAAATAGTCGCTCTTATAGTACTTGACTTCCTCGTCGAAGGCATCGTAAACCGGGTCGGGATACAGTAGGAAAGCATTGAGTCCCTGTTGGGTGAGATTCTGTACTCTGGCAACATTGTCCATGCGGAAACCGTACTCCAAATGCAGAGGTTTCTCAGCATCGAGGATACCAGGTGGCACGTCGATCTCTGGCGACTTACAAATCATGTTGGTCTGGCTAAGAATGGTGCAGGCTTGCGAGAAGTACTGTTTGCCCTCGTAGTACACGTACATCTCAGGCTTCTGAATATAAGCGAGATTGTGGCCGGTGATGCTGATTTTTATACCGCCGGATGGGATGCCCTTGGGCACCTTGATTTGGCCGCCGTCGACACCACTCTCGACGGTCTCGATCTTGGGATCCTCGACGTACTCGTAGACGCCCATGAATCGTCTTTCCGACTTGTCGAAGTGCATCTTGACGGTGCCAGCTCGCGGTCTGTCGCTCGCGCTCGTAATGCAAAGCACTTCGTCGTGCTCGGTGTTGTTGATTTCGCATGGTAACTCGTCGATGAAGGCCTGAATGCGGCTGCCGGCGTTCATGTACTGGCCGTTGATTTTCAGCCGAGTGCCACCACTGACGGGGCCGTGCGTCGGTGTGATGGCAGTGATATTGGGATCGACGAACTGGTACTCCTCTTTCGACTGTCCGCGGAAGTCCTCAATTTTAACGATCACCGGTCCATGGCGAATCTTGTTATCGCCAGGCCCGTCCACACGACAGACGATCTGTTTCGTGCGGATGTACAGCTCCTCGTACGGCTGGCAGGTCAATCCGACGACGGTAACTCCATTGTAGATGTCCTTGAAGGTCTTGCCGAGATTGATGCCGGTGATGGTGATGTTGGTGTGGCCTTCCCACGGGCCCATCATCGGCTCGAACTTGAGGATTTCGGGATTGGGGCAGGTTTGGTTTCGGTCCAGCCAGGTGCCGCTGCCCTTGTCGCACTGCTCCTTCACCTCGCACCTGTCGGAGGTCATGCACCAACCGCAGCCGTACTTTTCGGCCAGAGCCAGGCACATGCCGCAGTTATCGGCCATGTCGCGGCAGCGGTAGATCACCACGTGGATGTTATCGGGATTGTCGAGAGGCTTGGAACCGCCCCAGATGACGGCAAACGGCACCGTGATGTTGGGCGCACGCGACGTGTACGAGAACTCGGTGTCGTCGCAGTAGATCGTATCGGCGAGGAGGCGCGCGTTCACGCTCGTCACGCGCCCTTCGATGTTGAACTGACAGACGAAGCGGGTCTGTATGATGAATTGCTGAAAATGAAATGGACGCCAGTCAGTGCCGACTCATTGCCGATATTTATCGGCGTACGCTGTGGTGTCGTCGTTCGTAGCACATCGTAATCATTGCCACGTCGCGCGCGCGCACACGCAAATTGGCAAGTCGAGCGATATTGTGCTCGTCATTAGATCATCGAACGGCTGTCAACGAGAAGCAGCGAACGCGTTCCATTTGGATGACTTGGAAGACGCGTTGCTGGAAAATTGATGAACAGGAAGAGCGGAGCTTACCCCGATGATGTGAACCTTGGCGCGGATGGTCTTCTTAACGCCGGAAGCGACGAGGATCTCCTTGGAATCCGTGGCATTGATGGTGGGGCAGAAAGCCGGTCCGCTGCGGTAACTCGGTCCGAGCCTCTGCAAGAATCGACATTCAATATCGGCCCGCATTCCTCGCGCATAGGGGCGTTTTACGAGCGAGCCCCTCGAATTTCACGTATCGACGACCGCTCTCGTAGGCCTGTCGTGCGCCCGAGAAGAGCACTGGCCGTAAAGCGAATGCAAAGGAACGGGACAAAAGTAGCGAGCACTCACACTGACGCCGGTGACGAGGATGTCGTTGCGGCAGTTCTCCGCCGTGTCGTGAGTGCAGCGGTGGCCGTCGACGCACCAGTCGCACGGGAAGTTGGACGAGACGCACTGGGTGCAGGAGCTGTGCGTGCTGCAGTCGAAAAAGGTGAAGTCCGTGGCCACGAGGTCCGGCCCGTTGGTCATCCGCACCGACAATTTGGCCGTGAAGTGGTGCTGGCCCGGCGGGATCGGCGGCAGTAGGTCCGTGCGCGGCGTCGTGCAGTTGACCCCATACGGCTTCCTGCGGACGCGGGACAGAGCGAGGCAGAAAATTAAAAGAAGGCTAAAGAAGGTCCGCGGGGGAGAGGAGACGAGGAGCCTCCTACCTGGTGGCATTGGTGATGAGCGTCTTGTCGAGCGCGGAGAAGGCGCAGAGAAACTGGCCGCTGAGACTGGGCAGGTTCTCGATAGCGAGCTCGAGCGTCCTGGCGGTCGTCCTCTGCAGTTGGTCTGGATTGACGTTGGTGATGGTGGTGCAGCGCCCGCTCTTGTAGGAGATCCAGTAGAGCGGGTCCTTTGCCGCGTCCTGGCAGTCGCTTCGCAGACTGCACTTGTTCTCGAGCGAGCACCAGCCGCAGTAGGGGTCCTTGGCGTTCAGGCACTCCCAGCAGGTCTTGTACACCGTGCACTCTTGCACCTTCACCTTCGAGATCTTCTTCTCGGTCATCACGTACAGGTGCATGTTGTGCTGGGCATCGAACAGCAGGTCCGCGTTCACCGGCGACTTGGCGTCGATCTCCAGGTCACCGTACTCCTGCGCTTGCGACGCCGATTCTACCACCAACTGTAACACCAAGGCAAATTCACCGTCACTGTATAGCTCGCTCGCACAACTTATCCATCGATTCGGCCCGAAGTAGATGTAAATGGCTGCGGCTGCACATTGACGGACATCGACTATCCCATTGCCAACCTATAGGCCTTTTTTCTCTCGACGATGCTTTTCAATAAATTATTGCCGGGTCAAAGCTGCGCCATACACTACCGAAGCGCACAAGTGCAGATTTGCTGTATCGCTCACGCGGACGAAATCCGCGAGAGAAGTGAATGTGCGACGGTAAAACGAATCCCGCCGTTACTCATCCCTTGCGATATTTCATTTCGAAATCTCATTCTTCATGAAATATTCAGTGTGGTTTTTAAAATTCTCCGAGGCCCTCCCCTCCTCTTTCAACTGTCTTTTTGGCCAACCGCCAGACATACTTGCGGTGCAGCGAGTGTATTCCGTCGGCTGCCGTTGTACCTGCTTGTCGAACGCTGCACGTCCAGTCGTAATGGCAATTGCCACGAAACCGTTCGGCCGAAAGAAATAATGGCGCGTCGCGCGAAGCACCGACACAAAGGCGCGCGCGCTCGCTCTCTCTCTCTTTCTCTCTCTCTCGGTGATGATAAAACACGCCCACGCAATTGATTCGCGCGTCAAAGACGAGTCGCGAATAATCTCCGCGTGTCAGCGCAGCTGACCGACCAAACAAAACGCGACTTTCGCGGATTCGACTAGCCGCGACGAGATTTTTGTCTTTTCTTTCTTTTTGCGATTTATCCAGCGTAATACTTGTGCCGCTTCGACGCGTGGGTCGCATTACCCTTCTCTCTTTGTTTGAAAAGCGTGTTCGTAAACTGGAGATTCGTGGATAACTTTCGGTTTTTTTATTTCTTTCGACGAAGCTCGGTTCGAGCGTGCGTTGGCGATTTACTTAAATTCGCCGATAGAAATCGAAACTGCCATTTATTTTTTTCTTTCGTGCGGGATTGCGCGTTTCGCGATGTTATCGAAATTTCGGACGAAATGCCAATGAATATTAATAACGATTTGCAATGATTAATTGTGACCGCCTGATAATTAATTAGCGCATTCATTAGCATTTGAATCTACAATTTACTCACTGGCGCGTAATATTCCCTAATGAGAGTACGACAGCTAGTGCTAAAAGCGCCATTAATGCGGAATTTTCAGCCGATTCGAATTAATTTATAAGCGGTGCAGCCGCGTGTCACGGTAATTTTTCACGCGGTGAGTAGCGTAAAAAAATCTCATTTCCCAAGGCGACCCAAAAAGCTCGTGCTTTTTCAAAGGCCAAGTCGCAAGGCGCATCGTTGAGCAAAAAAACAAGCAACGATTATGCACTCAGCGTACGCGACGGTCGCCGTAACGAGCGCGCGCTGACTCAAAATCCGGTAATATCATTGAACTTTCATGTCGGTAACAAATCAAAGCCGATCGCCAGCTCTGTCCTCTCTCTCTCTCTCTCTCTCTCTCTCTCTCTCTCTCTCTCTCTCTCTCTCTCTGTCGACTTCTTTCGAAACCTTTGTCGCCTAATCCTTGAGCTTTAATTAATACGTAGCGCCTGGCGTCGAGAACGTGTACGTAGAGAGAGAGAGAGAGGGGGGGAGTATCTATCGGACCGTTAGAGACACTCGCACGAACCCAAAGACATTTCAATTAACGGAGATAACAGGTGAGGTCTGTGATTAATCATGTGCTCGATGAAAGAAAAAAAACCATCGAGTGTTCGATTCTCACGGCCCTCGCGCGCGACCAATTAAAACCTGTAGTCGACGAAGGTTACATATGCGAGAGCAAGAAAAACAATAATTCGAGAGAAAAGAGCCAATTAATTTGGAGAGGTCGGAATGAAGCAGAGGGATCGGAGTTTGAGGGATCCGAAAGGAGAAAAATCGCTGCTCTCTTTCGCGTCCTCTTCTTTACAGCAGCACCAGCAGCAACAGCAACGGCAGTAGCAGGCGACTAATTTGGATTAGTTTCCACTCGGCGAGTGCTCGGGCTATCGATTTCCAACGAGCGGTGCGGCTTTGCGATTGACTTTCGCGAGGGATTCCTTTTCTTCGCGAGCGACGCCCATTATTCCCATTCTTTCCGTCGATTCTGAAAGGACCTTAAACTGCTCGAGTCCATTAGAAAAATTGGGCACTCTTTCTCTTTTCATCCCCCCTTCGTTCGATTCGGCGGCTTCGTTTGTCCATTTCCGTATCAAAGCAAACAAGAGTCAATTGTAAAATTGGTCGTAACGCGAACGAGTCACGGCTGTATTAAGAAATGAGCTTGTGCGTTTTTATCGCACGCCCGTGAAAAAACGTTCTCCAGACGTGCATTAGAAAGTGAAGACGAAGGCAATTTTCCGATCCAATAAAGTCTTTTACTCTTTCTCTCACGGACCTCTCGGTGAATTTTTCGGACCGAGTTTTCGACACAAAGGATATACGAGGGCGCACAGCGAGACGAACTATTCTCGTTTCACATCCAGCTCGGTCGAGTGCAAACGAGTTGCACTTTTCTCTCTCTCTCTCTCTCTCTCTCTCTCTCTCTCTCTCTCTCTCTCGCGGTTTTACTCCGATTTCATGAGAGTTTGTTAGCCAGCGGATATCGTCGGTACGATGTTAATCCATGGAGAGCTCCGTTTCTCTGAATAATTAGGTCGGTCGATTTCGCGATTGTCGCGGACGAGGAGGAGGACGACTACGACGACGCGACGAGGTACAACTACGACGAGCTGCCAACTTTTGGCGCGAGGCGCGCGCGCGCTGCCAATTAATTCGTCGCGTTCCGGGCGGAGACTCGTTAGCCGGAGACGACGGCGAGCAGGGAGCACGCTAAACAAAGGGAATTCGTTTCTTTGAAGGCGACGCCGAGAGATGAAAATAATGTTTCCCCGCCGCCGTGACCGCGTTAATGCGGCTTCGAGATCGGGCCGGCTTTTTACGCGCCGTTCCGCGTCGAGGCGCGCTCAGCTGATAAAAAGCTCCGAATACATCCTCCTTGGCTACCCAATTTGTGCGAGTGGCTCGAGCTTCGCAATCTCGGGGGCTCTCGGACGCCGCATCCGCAGCGCGTCGATGCCAAATCAACCGATCGGAGCCCTGACGCGAGTGCGTCGTACGCTTTTACCTTTGCCCGGCGCGTTGGGGAGAGAGAAATAGGGAGCTCGTTGACGCGAGAAGAAACTATTGTTACTCGGCCGGGTCGTAAAATTTTTTTTTTTCAGTTCCGGGCCGAGGGCGAGCTTTTCTTTCATAAAATAGGCGAAGGCGTCGGCAGGGAAAAAGTCACGAAGCATTTAGTCGGATCTCCGAGACGTCGAGCGGGCTGGGGCTGGCAAATCTCGTCAACCGGGTCATAAAACAGGTATATACACTTCCCGTCGACGCTCTCTCTCTCGCGCGCTCGCGCGTGCGCGTTTATGCGCCGAATATAAAAGAAAGGGCAAAAAAAAGGCCGCCCCGGAAGTAAATCGCCGAGAAAATCCGGAGCGCGGCGAGGAGGGCATATCGGCGCAATTGCTCGTAAAAGACGGAGCAGCTAAGTAAGCCTAGATTATAAAAGCCGAGCGAGCGAGAGTGTAAAGGGACCTAATTGCATCGAGAGTTCGCGCGTTCGCCCGAGACAACGCCCCCCCCCCCTCCACCCCCCGCCAGCTGTACCGTATGTGCGTGAGTACAAAGCGACGGCTGGAGGCGAGTATTGCGCAACGGTCGATTTGTCAACTGTCGCCGGGCTGCTGGCGCTGCGATCGGAAATATCAAGTCCGCCACGCCAAGTTTACGGCGAGCGCTTTTACGTCCCCGATGTCGTGTTTTCTCACTGTGCGGCTTATCAATCATTGTACGCGACGCATCCCTCGTTGCGTCAGAGCACCAAGTCTCCACGAAACTGACTCGGCAAGTATGACCGGGACAGAAGAAAAAAGAAATTCGACTCGCTCGAAAATAGACGCATTTATATGCCGGCAAGGAGGCGTTACGCACGCCGTTGGCATTCGACAGACTTTCGGACGTGTTGACTGTAATTATTCGACAAAAGAAGGAAAGCCCCCTTCTCCCGCAGCAGCAGCTCCGACCGATCGTGCATAAGGGTACCGCGCGCAAAAACAAACTCCTCCTCCCTCCACCCTTTTCTGGTCCACGCGCCGAAAGCTCGCTCGATGAAAAATTCAACGCGGGAGACAATAATTTCGTCCACGGGCGCGACGACCCGCGTTAAGCGCGCGAAGCTCACGTGCCGCGCCGATAATCGAAATTGACAGCAGGCGGGCTTGCTTATCTCTCGCTCTATCTCTCTCTCTCTCTCTCGCACTCTCTTTCGCTCGCGGAAAACGTCAGAAGTCTGAAAGTTTTTTAAGTGCTCGCGCTAGCTTTTTAACGACGCGTCGCTCGGCTTGACGCGGAATTATGCGTCGAGAGTTGTGCGCGATATTCATCGGTGGCCCTCCCTCTCCCTCTCGACATCGCTCGCGATCGATTTTACAGTACGATGCTCGCTAATGGAATGTATTAAAGCCACAGCGGCGAATTATCGTCGTAGTGGCCGCAGCGCGGCTTGGTCGAGGCTTATTTTCCACCTTGGTTTCGCGACGCGTTGTCTCGCTGTCGTTTGGCGCGCGAGTACAAGCCCGGATTTGCGCGACGGCCTTCCGTTGTTGCGCGAGAGACACGGAAAAAAACAAAAACTAAAAAAAAAAAGGAAAACAATAAAACGAAATACACGGTAAGCCTGTTTCGCGGATATGAGTTAGCGTTGTTGCGCGAGTGGCACGTATTTGGATGTGCCTCGTATTTCTCGACTTTTCATTTATGTCCCTCTTTTTTTTCGGCAATTCTGCTAATTTGTCATTTCGATCGGACGAAAATCCGTCGCTTTTTAAATAAATTTCCAGCGACGGGCGTAAATTTCGGCCGCGAGAATTGGACGAAATACAAGTGGCTAACCGAATCATCGGAAACTCAGACATGCACATTGATTGCAATTCAGCGTGCATGTCTGAGTTA